ATATGTGTTGCGAAAAGCCAATTGTCTTTATCTGTAAAGAAGGCGCTAAGCATTTCTGTGGCAGAATTGTCTTTATCTATAAAGGTGGCACTAAGCATTTCTGAGTTCTAACCCCATCTTTTAGCTTCCACCTGGTTGTTCAGTTGTCCCTCAAACATTTCCCAGCCCTGCCTCCTCACGCCCGACTGTCTTTCTGTGTTCCTTCTCTTGATTCATGGTGTCAGTGTTGCCTGGTCACTCAAACTCAAAATCCCTGAGCCCCCTCACTCCATGTCTTAATCCCCATATTTAAGTGGTCACAAAGTTCTGTGGACTCTGCCTTGTCAATTCTCTGGCGTCTTTGCTTTCCTTACCCTACCTACTGCCCCTGACTTGGTTCAGACCCTCATCTCTCACCTGAACTATGATAGCAGCCGCCAAGCTAGCCTCCCTGTCTACACTCATTCCTCACTTGCCATTAATCATTGCTTTTTAGAAACATACCCCAGGACTGGACTCTGATTCTCCATTTAAAACTGCTCAGGATAAACCCAAACTTGTAAGGCTGGTGCGTAAGCATCTTCCTAAAGGGGCCTCAGACAGCCTCTTTGGTCTCATTTCCTACAGTCGCCCTGAACCACCCTGAGCTTCAACCACAGTGAATTTCTTTCTGTTCCCTAAATACTCAGCACGTTGTTGTTTTGCAGCCTGAAACTCTCTCCCTTGTCTCTGTAGTAAAAGTCATACTTATCCTTTAAAAATAAAATCAAAATGTCACTTCCTTCCTGAAACTTCCCCATCTTCTTGTGGCCCCATCACTGCCTCACTCTGTAGGATACCACAGGAGAGCGTTACTTGATCATTACTAGACTGAATCATCTCTCTTCCCCTTCCACCCATCATATTATTGTGAAATCCTCATGAGGAGACCCTCACCCCTCCTTTCAAAGCTTTGAAACTCCAGCACTCAGTACAGTGCTTGTTTCCCAGTTGGGTTGGTGTCCTATAGTTTTTGCCAGCAGAATAGAATAAAGTAATGAATGATCAATTTACATGTGAATCATTATCTGCTAGTTTCATAACAAGATATTTGGAGAAAGTCAGTTTGAATATTGTTAGGTTGGTTCAAGGGTAATTGCAGCTTTTGCCATTGCTTTTAATGGCAATAATTGCAATTACTTTTGCACCAATCTAATAGTACAGGATATTAGGAGATTATTTATCACAGAGTATGAATTTGGGGGATATAAGTAAACTCAAGTCATCCCAAATTTTCTTCTATATGTTTATTCACATCTAACAGCTGCTTTTAGAAGGCAGGCCAGGTGGTACATGGAGATGGGTGTTTTGGAAGCAGAACAGAGCCTGCTGCTCCCAGGGCTAGATAGTTATTTAGCAAACACATGCAGATCTTGTACTATGGGCCAGACGTTCCTCTCAGCATTTTGCAAACATCAACTCATTTAATTCTTCTAACAAACCTAGGAAATAGATATTACTATTATTCCCATTTTACAGATGAGAAAACTGAGGTCAGGTGGAAATGTGTTTTTTCTTTACATCTACTGTTCATTTCATTGAGATTTCTCTTCCTGCCATTCCTCTTCTGAAATGTAAGCCATAGTTCTTGGTGCTGTCTTAGCATCTTTTTTGTATGTAGTACTCACGGTTGGGCGTGGTGGCTCATGCCAGTAATCCCAGCACTTTCAGAGGCTGAGGCGGGTAGATCACCTGAGGACAGGAGTTCAAGACCAGTCTGGCCAACATGATGATATCCTGCCTCTGCTAAAAGTAGAAAAATTAGCTGGGCGTGGTGGTGCGTGCCTGTAATTCCAGCTGCTTGGGAGGCGGAGGCAGGAGAATAGTTTGAACCCGGGGTGTGGAGTTTGCAGAGAGCCAAGACTGCACCACTGCACTCCACTCCAGCCTGGGAGACAGAGCAAGACTCCGTCTTGAAAAAAAAAATTATATATAGTGCTCACTACATTACATGATAGTTGCTATGTCAGTGTGTTCCACAGGTAGACCTGGCACATTACTTGATTTTAGTTTCTTTTTCAGTAAAATGGGCATAGTAATCCTTACCTTGCAGAGCAGCTGGAGGATTGAAAGAGCTGGTGCAATTCCAGGGCTGCATGCTCAGGAAATGAGCTTTTCCTATCCTGTCTTTTGTCTTCCTTGACACAGTTGTTGATACAAGACAGGTGTTGTCCTGTGAGAAACTGAAGGGAAGGGAGAAAAGGAAAACCAGGACAGCCCAAAGTCAAGGCCACTACGGGCGCAGAAGGGTGTCAGCACTTGCAAATCTTCAGACAGTAGCTTACAATTCAGAGAAGACTGTGGGTTTGATTATCACTGACGATTTTGATCACAGCCTTAGCAGACCGTGAGGTGAAATGAAAACTGAGCGTGTACTGTCTTCTCCTTTAGGAACAGAGGAGAAGGGTTAGAGTAGAAGCAGGTAGAAAGCATGCTTTCTGGTTAAATAGGAGAACCCTGCATATGTCTATAGGCAGGGTGGGTGAAGCTCTTAGCAGAGAATGACCCGGAAGGATGTCTTTCCTTCTCCCTATCCTGGTGGAAAGGCTGCTTAGAACCCCTGATGTCCATGCTGGGACTTGGCTCCATGAGTCCTCTCACCTCTTTGCGGCTCAGGCATCTGTCTCACAGCCTAGCAGTCTTTGGGGTTAGTTCAGGGCCTGGGTGACGTATTCAACTTGTCGCAGCTGCACTTTCCTCATCTGTAAAATGAGGAGAATAATATCCACCTCATAGGGAGATTGTGAGCACAGAATGAAATAATATGTGTTCAGTACCAATGACAGTGTCTCAACTATTGTGTCTTTTTAACTTTCTCTTAGTGACAGGATGGAAGAGAAGTAAAAACGCTAAAATCTTAGCATGTTCTTGAACTGCAGAAGGAAGAATTTGGGGATGTGCCCATGGGATAACTGCTGTCTCCTCTGTAAAGCAGAGAGGGAGGGAGTCCACTGAGGCAAGGGGAATGGGAGGTTTATAGTTTTGAGGGCACTGGTAGTTACCCTGGAGGCCACTGAGTTCTTTTCACTAGAGATATACACAAGGGCTGATGAGCAGCAGCAAAGGCCTGGCTGGGAATAGAGATGGCAGTTAGGATCATGTGTAACCCTCCGTAGCCAGGTGTGAAGGGAATGGGGAAAGATGTGGATGGAACAGGGGACTGACAACTGTTGTATTAGTACATTCTCACACTGCTATAAAAACATACCTGAGACTGGTAATTCACAGTTCTGCATGGCTGGGGAGGCCTCAGGAAACTTACAATCATGGCAAAAGGGGAAGAAGCATGTCTTACATGGCAGCAGGTGAGAGCAAGAGAGCACAAATGAGTAAAAGGGAAAAAGCCCCTTATAAAAACTCTCAGATCTCCTGAAAACTCACTCACTCTCACGAGAACAGCATGGGGGAAACTGCCTCCATGATGCAGTCACCTCTCAGTAGGTCCTGCTCTCAACACATGGGGATTGTAGGGATTACAATTATGAGATGAGATTTTGGTGGGGGCACAGAGCCAGACTATATCAAGTGTCAAGGGGGTGTGGGGTTCTAGTGTGTGTATGTTTGGGGATATAAATATGCACTGGGGAGATGACAGCCAGAGTCCTCTAGTCATATGGGAGCTGCTGATGGCCCAGGTGAGTGGGACAGGTGTGGAAGTCCTGTGGTGACAATGAGGATGCAGAGCAGGTTCCTGGGTTGGGGTGGGGACCCCAAAGCTTGTGGCCAGAGCTGGAGTTTCAGAATATTAGATAAAATAATTTTCAATGACAAAAGCCAGGGGATGGCTGGTATCTCAAATACAATGTTCTTCATCTCTCTACTTTTTTTTCTATTCTTTGTCATATGAATGCCTACCAATGAAAAAAGTAACCTTAGTCTTTATGCAACTTTTTGTGTGAAATTCATCTGTTAGTATTATTCAGTAAATATTTTTATTTCTACTTTGTGTTTGTAATAATGTTTAGTGATTGCATTATATGATCTTTGCACATGCTGCTTTGTATTCTTTTGGATTTTTCCCTAGGATAAGTTTCCAAGTTTGGGATACCGATTTTGGAGTGAGGAGTCTTGATGGGCTGTTAGTTAACTGCTGCAGGCAGATCTACAGCAGGCAGGGAGAGCAGGCAATGGGGAAGAAAAATAGAATAGTTAACAATAGAGTCTGAGCGGAAGCTTTCTGTAAATATTTTAAGTCCACCTCATGTAACTCTCAGTTCTGCGTGCTGCCTCTACTGGAGGCGTCTACCCAGGTGAAGGGGAAAAGGAGCTGGCTGAAGGTTGCATCTGTGATTGAGTAAATGGAGTTTTGCTTGGCTTGGTCTTTGACGCTTTCTTTTTGGGGACTATCATCAAGAATATGAAGAAATTGAACAAAGTGTGTATCTGGCAGGGGCAGGTAGCAATGAAAGGGAGTTTGTCTGTTCTGGAGTTATTTAGTTTTTTGAAACAGAGCCTCACTCTGTCGCCCAGGCCTGGAGTACAGTGGCTAATCTTGGCTCACTGCAACCTCCACCTCCTGGGTTCAAGCGATTCTTGTGCCTCAGGCTCCTGAGTAGCTGGGATTACAGGCGCCTGCCACCATACCTGGCTAATTTTTGTATTTTTAGTAGAGACAAGGTTTTCGCCATGTTGGCTAGGCTGGTCTTGAACTCCTGGCCTCAAGTAATCCACCTGCCTTGGCATCCCAAAGTGTTGAGATTACAGGAATGAGCCACCACACCCGGCTTATTCTGGAGTTTTTTGAGGCAGGACAGAACAATTTCATCTTGATACATTAAAGGCTTTAATAATTTTGATTATAATAATCACAGCATTAGTATTTTGAAAAATTTTAGCAGTTAGTGGAAAATATGATTTAGATGATTATTAAAGAAATTGCAATATTTTGAATCAGAGCAAAATTTCACTAAAAATATTACTGTTAATAATATTTTTTCTTATGTCTTATGATTGTAATGCTTCTCCTTTTTTTCTTTTAACAGAAGAAATACAGAAAGGGGTTTATTGATGTTTCAAAAATCAAGTGTGTGGAAATAGTGAAGAATGATGATGGTGTCATTCCCTGTCAAAATAAATATCCATTTCAGGTGAGCAGGTGTATTTTTGTGGCAGTGCAGTGCTGGGCTTAGTCACGTTTGCTCTTTGACATTACGGTTTCCTGTCCTTGCTTGGTGGCTGATTGGCTGATTTCTAGGTTCATTTGCCACTGTAACAGTTATGACTTTTCTTCATTAACTGCTTAAGTCCTTGTGGAAACATTATTTTATTCTTGTTTTGGTCTGTTAGTTTCTATGAGTGACCCTCAGTTTCCAAGCTCCAAACCTTATTTACTACTATTCAGATTTTTTTTTTTTTTTTGAGGCAAAGTCTTACTGTGTTGTCCAGTCTGGAGTGCAGTGGCCTGATCTCAGCTCACTACAACTTCCACCTCCCAGGTTCTAGTGATTCTCCCACCTTAGCCTCCCGAGTAGCTGGGATGACAGGCATGTGTCACCACACCTGGCTCATTTTTATACTTTTAGTAGAGACAGGGTTTCACCATGTTGGCCAGGCTGTTCTCAAACTCCTGACCTCAACTGATCAGCCCACCTTGGCCTCCCAAAGTGCTGGGATTACAGGTGTGAGCCACTGTGCCCAGCCTACTATTCAGATTGATCGCAGAGCAGTTACAATAAGGAGTCTGGGCTAAGACTGAAAAGTGAGGGTTGAAGTCTTTCCTATGAATTTGGGAAATTGAGAAGTGAAAGGCAGGAGTTATCCTCAAACGGAAATGAGATTAAAAGGCTGCTTGTGATGAGAAAAATAATATTAGCCTTATATATTTGTTAAACTGTACTTTTTTAGGGTAATTATGTTATTTTTCCCCCTCATAATGATTCTGTTGCATAAAGAAGGTAAATATCCCATTATTCTCATTTATGTCTGAGGCTCACCTGTTAAACAGCTTCTCCAAGGTCACCTTGTCAATGAGAAGCCTGCCAAGCCCACACACATGCATCTCCTCTCCAGAAGAGGAGGGTCTGGCATCCTGAACCGCTCTGCATTTATGCCGGTATCTTGGTCCCAACGTGCCTTGAGAACTCTGGAGTGCGAAGTTGGATCCTGATAATCTGGAGCTCGCAGCTCCTCCCAGCACCTCACCACTTCCTTCTCTGCTCAAGGATGTTTTTATGCTCTCCTTGAGCAGTGAATGTCCCTAGTGAAAGTCACCTTTTACCCATGGCTGTGGTCTCACCGTGTAAAGAAAGGAAAGTTGCAAAAGTCGTTTTCAATGTGGTGGAGTTTTGCTTGTTTTTAATTGCTCCTGTGAAGTATACATTTGCCAGTTTTGGGTGATGAAGATGTTTGGAAAGCAATGAGCCAAAATATGCAAGCTTCTGGCTTATTCTCCATGAAGGTGGCAACATCACAAAATGTGGAAGGGCTACATTTAATTTTCCTTTTTCTCTGTTCTTCATTTTATAGCTGCCATTTCTCTAAGTGAAGGACAGGGAGAGTAAGTACTTAGAGGTAACTCTGAGGCCAAACTGCTTGATTTGCTGTGAGCATGTATAAGTCACTTAACCGCTCTGTGTCTGTGTCCTCTCTTGAAGAATGGGAATAATAACAATAATAGTACTCATTTCATAGGGTTGTTGTGAGGATTAACTGATGTGATGTATAAATAGCTTTGACATGTAATAAGAACAAGGTAAGTAGTTGTTGCTGTTATTACTATTGCTATTCTCTTACTACTGCTGCTGCTATTAATATTACACCTAATATTACACCTACCGCCTGGATCTCGAAGTAAACTAAATTTAAACCACCTTCTTGATTAAGTATGTTTAATGCACATATAATGGGTCTGTGTATCTATACGTGTGTGTGGATGTGTCTCTATAATTTTTTTTGAAATTTAGCAGAGAACCATTCCTACCACACTTTTTTTTTTTTTTTCTTTGAGATGGAGTCTCACTCTGTTGCCCAGGCCAGAGTGCAGTGGTGTGATCTCAGCTCATTGCGACCTCCACTTCCCAGTTTCAAGCAGTTCTCATGCCTCAGTCACCTGAATAGCTGGGATTACAGGCATGTACCACCACACCCAGCTGATTTTTATATTTTTAGTAGAGACAGGATTTCACCATGTTGGCCAGGCTGGTCTGGAACTCCTGGCCTCAACTGATCCACCTGCCTCAGCCTCCCAAAGTGCTGGGATTACACAGTGAGCCACTGCACCCAGCCTCCTATCACAGTTCTGATGGCTGTTAGACATGTTAGGGATTGACAGCATTGGGGCGCTGTGGCTCTCATGATTTGGGACCCAGAATTAGGATTTTTGCTGTCCAGGAGAAAGAGATTCACTCTGCAAGTTTTGGGTTGGTTTTAAGAATGATAATATGATTAGAACAGAAAGCATTCCATCCTTGGGCTATTAAAATTGTTGAGATGAACAAATATGAGAAAAGTTCAAAAACAATCTGAAAAATAAATCAAGAAGGGGTAAGCTTCTGCTTTATATAATTTAAAGCAGCATGATTCGAAAGGTGAAAAATACCCTCTCTTATTATGACTTAAGTGTAACTAAGAAAGTATAGATCCTAGTTTCACATTTTCATAGTGAAATTTTGCATTAGGTTCAGATACAAGGTGAAAAAAATAAAAGTAGAAGACATTTTCAAAAGACACCAGGAGAAGAAAGTGGGATGGATGGAGAAAATAGCGGGGAATCCCCACCAGCTGTCTAGCTGGTTACCTCCTGGATGGTCCCTCCTTCGTGCTTCCCTAGATGAGTCATTCTGATGGCAGCTGGGGGATCCCCAGGAGCTGGTGTGTCTTTCCTGGGCTTCAAACCTGGATCTATCTTTAATCTGTGCTGTTTCTCCTACACCACACCATTACATTATAAGTCTGTGGAATAAATGAATGAGTAGGTGGAAGACACAAATAGGAGGGAGGGTAACTATGAGTGAGTAGTGTTACTAAGGGAGAATATTCCCTTTTTGTTTAAATGGTTTCTGCACTTGAAGTTTGCAAAGCCCTTGCCTCCCCAACAGCCTCTGCTGTGGTAGGATGACTCAGCACAAGACTGAGGGCAGCAGGAAACGCAGCTCCCTGGATCCTCCTCCCCAGAAGGAGGCCAACATGGTGTGATCTGAGGTTTGCTCAGGGAAACACTGGCCCCCAAATATCTCTTCAGCCTGCCAAACAACTCAGCCAAAATTAGGAGCTTATTATTTGGGCTCAGGGTGCTATTCCTAGAAACTTCTCATAGAAATACAAATGCCCCAAGTTAGCTAGGTAACATATCAAGCTAGTTTTAGTTATCAAAACTCTGAATTTGGATTAGGTTTTTTTTTTTTTTTTTTGGTGGGGGAGGTGGTTAGCAAGTCCAACAAACTTCAACGAACTTTTACAGGCTCATGGTACTGACATGAGATGAGTTTTGTAGGGAAGTTAGACTGCTTGGAGTCTGGAAAGGCAGATTCCAAGAGGCAAACAGTCAAGGGATATTTAGAGGTTAAATATCCTACTCATATGGCTTAATCTTACCCACTTGGTTTTCTAATTTGAAAAATGAGGATTCTAACCCTAGGAAGGAATTAGATTGCTGTATGGTTGATATGAGGCAGTGCATGTAAAGTACTTAGCCCAATTATAGGGACTCAGTAAATTATTATAATGAATTAAATTGTTATTACAATACACCACTGGTTTCTGGAACGTCCAAGGCCCTAGCAGTCTTTTCCAGACATCTCAATGTCAATTCAGAATGACTAGTTCATGGTGCATTTTAACTTGTTCCTTCTGTACAGAGTTGGTGTGGGCAAGCCTACGTAACTATGAAACTCATGGAGCAAATGAGGAAACACATCTCTTCACATCTCTTTTAGCACTTTATCGATCTGATATCATGGCTCACTTTCTGTCTTGTAATAAGGTATTTCTGTATTTGTCCTGGAAATAGGCTTCATGCCTGATTCATTTTTGTGTCTTATGCAGTTCTAGCAAGGTGCTGAATGGTGTATAGCATTATTTGTTCTATGGTATTCGCTTTGCTATTGGAGTGCATTTCTGACTGGGTACTGTAGCTCTCACACCTGTAATCCTAGCACTTTGGGAGGCTCAGGCAGGAAGATCACTTGAGCCTCGGGGTTCCAGGTTATAGTGAGGTGTAACTGCACCACTGCCATCCAGCATGGGTGACAGAAAGACCTTCTCTTAAAAAAAGAGTCCATTTCTTTGATTTAAATGAACAAGAAGGAATTATCTATTGAGTATGGACAGCCAGCCATTTATCAATGAAAGAGCTATTTGGTTTTCAATCCAGTGGGTGTGGACGTAACAAAGGGAGATTTCTAGTCATGTGATACTTTTTAGCCAGTCTGGGTTTTTCTGCCTTGTGACTGACCATCAAAAATAAAGTGACAAAATGTCTGGGTTAGTTTCCCAGGGTTATCTTATTGTTAATATTAGAAATATTAAAAATAAGGCTACATAATTGCCCACCAAGGGCTACCTCTGAGTGAGGCACTGTGGTTAAAAGGCTGGGCTCTGCAGTCCCAATTCTGGCTTTCTGGATTCCCAGCCAAATGGCGATGGGCAGGTTAGGCAGCACAACGTCAGGGGACAGCGTCTGCAGGTGCGCTGCGTGAGTGGTGCCTGCTGAAGTCACACAGGAGCGGGGGCCTGGGTAGGCCTTCATTTTCTCCTTTATAAAATAGAAAAACTCATACCTCGATGGCAGGATTAATTGAGTTCATGTCTGTAAAGCACACAGCACCGCGCTGGGGTAGTCAGTGCTTAATCCAATTAGCTACTGCAATTATTGATAGTGACAAAAGGAAGCTAGGAGTGATGCTGAAAGAGTAGCCCGTTCATCTAAAATATGATTTAGAGAAATACTGAACTCTGTTATACCAAGTTTATCTAAGGAACTTTAGTTAATTGGATTAAAAGAAATACTGAGATTAATGAAGTATCCTGGCCTTTATATTTTTTCTTCTATAAAACATGGTCCTTTACAAAACGTGTGTCCTACTTAATGTAGAAATGAAGAAGTAGGAATTGAGTTTTCTGGATATGAAGTTACTGACTTTCATTCAGTTATTTGAGAATCATTGATTGGTGCCTATAGTACCAAGGGCTGTATGCTAGACAAAAGCGCTGTGTCTACATCCTTCTCACCAGTTCCATCTTTTGTTTTATTTTAGGTTGTTCATGATGCTAACACACTTTACATTTTTGCACCTAGTCCACAAAGCAGGGACCTGTGGGTGAAGAAGTTAAAAGAAGGTAAAACTCACAATGAGGTATTACTTTGTGCATAACTTTAGGAGATAAAATATTGGTATCACAAAGACAGAAATACAGCTAATATATCTATTGCGTTTGTAATCTCTTAGTCTACAATAAGTGTTTCTCCAAGGATATGCTGTTGTTGTGTTACCAGCATATTCAAGATAACTTCCCTTTTTAAATTCAGATTTTTTCTAGTTTCTGAGAAAAACATTCTCTCATTCAATGTGTAATATATCTGAAGGTGATAAAGCACAAGCTTTTATGATAACAGAATTTGTTTTTGTTTTCATTTTTTTTGAGTTGGAGTTTCACTCTGTCATCCAGGCTGGAGTACAGTGGCACAATCTCAGCTCACTGCGACCTCCACTTCCTGGGTTCAAGTGATTCTCCTGCTTCAGCCTTCCGAGTAGCTGGGATTATAGGCACCCACCATTATGCCCGGCTAAATTTTTGTATTTTTAGTAGAGACAGGATTTCACCATGTTGGCCAGCCTGGTCTCAAACTCCTAACCTCAGGGGATCTGCCCACCTTGGCCTCCCAAAGTGCTGGGATTACAGATATGAGCTACCACACCTGGCCCCAAATTAGGCATTTTCTAAGAAATTGCCCATGCAGTCAATATTTTGTATGGATGGACTGACATATTCATGAAAGGTTTAACCTGCGCAGTCCTCATTGCTTCTCCTGCAGAATAAAATGGTGTCAGACTGACATTTGCATTTATCCATCATTGGTGTAACAGCGGTCATTTCTGGTAAGAAGGGTGCTTCACCACCACCACCACGAACAACAACAAAAAACAAGAGGTCGAAGAGAGCTATATAGCTTTTCTGAATGCTGAGTCCTAGGATCTAAAGGCGTTCTTATAGTGAACATAGTATCCAAGGAATAAGTAATGATCAACAGTGTTACTTATGAAACATTCTGTAGTCACTTTTGTATTTCACTAATCATTACTGTGTTTGTGAATTACAGAAATAAAGAATAACAACAACATTATGATAAAATATCATCCTAAATTCTGGACAGATGGAAGTTATCAGTGTTGTAGACAAACTGAAAAATTAGCACCCGGATGTGAAAAATACAATCTTTTTGAGAGTAGTAAGTATTCATTTTATTTCATAATTATGTTGCACTCAGAATGAACATGTTATTGGTATGGCAAGAAAGTGGCATGGTTTTGATTAAGTACAGCACACTTTCTAGTAAAATGGAAATGTAGGGAAAGTGTGTTTTGTAAGAAAAATTATGTTTAGTTACAGTAAGACCTTCTCATGGAATCAAAAGGTCTATTTTGGGAAGCTTTTATCACAATATTGAATCTTGTTAATAATGAATCCATTGGAAGTGTGACTTTAATGTGGCACTGTCAGCAGCTTTGAAAAGCATTAATGTTCCTCAACAAATAAACCAAGACGTGGAGCTAGAAACCTCATGTAGCAATGCATCCACAGTCTGATTAAGGCCATGCTCATTTTGATGGGGCATAGCAGTAGTGGCTTCAGTCTGTTAGAACAGTAAGATATCATAATGATACTCACATGTAAATGTTGAGATGAACAACAATGTCTCAGGTTAATTTGGCAACTAAGACCCTTATAAATCCTGGGAATGAGAGGCCCTTAATCATAAGCTAAAAATAGGCAGAGATTGTAAGTTGCTAGTGCTGTAATAAGACACCCATAGTAATGATTGGGTGTACCATACTTGTCTTTTCCTGCTGGTGCCATGCAGAATGCTCACTGGGTCCATCAGAACTGACAGAGCTTCTGGATACGAGCAGAACTAATACTTGGCAGGGATGCTGTATTATACATGAGCCTAGACTAGATGACCTTCTTTGTCCATTCAGCCCTCGGTTCTAAGAGGAAGGCCTGTTTCTAAGCCTGTTTTTGTTTCCTTTTTTTTTTTTAATGTCTTAAGTTTTGGTATTAGTGAACGCGCAACCTGAGCTGCTGTAAAAAGAGACCCAAAAGTTACAGTGACTTAAACCAGAGAGAAATTTATTTAGTTTAATGTAATAATCCAGAGGTGGTAGGTGGGTGATCTGGGGCTGGTGGGGTATTCCTGCAGTGCTTCCTGGAGTTGCTCCAGCTCCAGGAGTCTCTCTCTTCCTGGAAGCAAAAAGAAGGGGGCCAAGGATGCCCATGGGAAATCCTTTTAGGGATGGCATCTAAAAATGGCACACCCCATTTGTACACAGAGTTCATTAATTACAATTTGGTCCCATTGCCACACCTAGCTGGGAAATAGTCTTTATCTTGGGTAGCCATGTGTCAGCCAAAACTCTTGGACTGTGGACTGTAGAGGAAGGGACAGACTGCCCAAGATGATTAATTTCTCAGTGTGGTCATGATTTCAATGCACTGTTTGATTTTATGAACATTGTTGAGTGCCCAGTTTATGCAGTGGTGGGAATACGTAGAACTGGCCTGGCCTCAATCCCTATGGCATTTATAGTCTGTTCAGGAAGGCAGAAATACAAGCCAGCTATAATAGTTTTTAATTCTGTTCCAGAATAGAGATACAAGCAGCATACACCAGAGCTGGTCAGAGTGTACTGCTTCTCTGTGTATTAATTCCTGCTTTTCCTTAAAACTACCAGTATCTTATCTTTATCAATCATTGGCAGATTTAACCTGTTTTTGTTGTTGGCATTTTCAGGCATAAGAAAAGCATTACCTCCAGCACCAGAAACAAAGAAGGTAGGTGGTCTTGAACTTTTGTTAGTAAAATCTTCACATTTTAAGCCTTTAAGTCTTAAGTTTTGGTAGTGTTTGTGGTTTATTGAGTATGTGGTTTATTCATTCATGTGATGCCGTTTTCCCCTAGGATTGTCTCAGAAGCTGATGTGCTGTAGCTTATTTCAGTTTTTTGTGGTGTCAGATAATACCAATTTAATTGTATTGAGATTTTATCATTGGAGAACCTGTTATCATCTGGCATTTTGCCTCTATTTTCACTTAAATAGTTGTATTAAGAGGAGTGGGACTTTAGAGAAGTATTTCAGTCTTAAGACCACAGTGTGACAAAGAAGTGACTTCAGTGATACAATGATATGCCTTTCAGGAGTGGGGTATGATAGAGAAAACATGCACTCTGGACCCAGTCAAGACCTGATTTGATATGAGTGACTTTCAATGGGTTACTTAAATTATTGTTACATTAGTTATGAAACAGGGATTATAATACTCTTCTTTATGAGAGTTCATTGGATTATATTAGGCAGACTTAAGGTCTCTACTTCATTCTGTGGTGCTGTATGACTCATTTAATTTTTTGATTCATGATCAGTTTCAAATAGAAGACTAAACTTTCAAATGTTATCTTCCTTGTTTAGCGAAGGCCTCCCCCACCAATTCCATCTGAAGAAGAAGATAGTAGTGAAGATATCGTTATAGCCATGTATGATTTCCAAGCAACAGAAGGACATGATCTCAGATTAGAGAGAGGTCAAGAGTATCTCATTTTAGAAAAGAATGATATTCATTGGTGGAGAGCAAGAGATAAATATGGGTAAGTGTTCCCTCTCTCTGTGTGACATGCAGTGGGTGGGTGGGAGTCAAGTGTTGAGTGAGAAGAGGATGAGTGGTAACTATCAGGTAATGAGACAGATTTCACCAGCCATAAATGGAAGGACACAGTATTACTTTGTAGTAACACAGCGCTTTCTCAGTGGTCACTCAATAAATGCAAACTGACAAATCAATTCTTTTCAAAAGTTAAAATACATTGGTCCCTTTCTCATCTGATACATGTTTAATTTGATTATTTTGACCTTGAGGGAAATTAAATGTTATATTTTGTTCCCACTTGCCATAAGTAAGTAATCTTAGATTTTTCTAAGAAAGTTTGCTGTAATTTTTTTCTTAGAATCTCTATCTGTATATATGTACATATATATATATATATACATATATGTGTGCGTGCGTGTATGCATACACATACACAGTATACTGAAGCCTCTTCTCACTTGACTTCTTTCTCTCTCCATGTGTATGTATGGAGGAGTGAGAGAGTATATATATGTGTGTGTGTATCTATATGTGTGTGCATGTATATATAAAATACATACATATGTACATACAGGAAATTAAACAGCAAGCATTTTTTTTTTTGTACAAGATAATTTAGGATTTGAAGAAAACAGTCCTTTCAACCCTATCATTGATAAATATATGGGCAGATATGGGTAACTCTAGGAAATGAGTGTATTTCAGGCTTCATAAGAAAACTCTGTATCCTATATTTACTTCTGCAGTACAATCCCATTTATACCCTGAGTTCCAGTAGATGAGAAGAGCAGGACTTTATGTCCTGCTGGAGCACACTCTTCTTCCACCTGTCCTCTCACCTGCCAGCCCCAGCCCCAATTTCAGGTCACTGTTCCTCAATTTACTTCTGAAGAAGCAGTGGAAATTTCTGGTTTAGGCAGGGTCCTTCTCTTCTGCTTGATTCCTAGGCATGGCACATATCTGAGTGCTGTTTTGCTGTGCATTATTAATTTTTTTCTTTTTTTTGAGATGGAGTCTCATTCTGTCACTCAAGCTGGACTGCAGTGGCATGATCTTGGCTCACTGCAACCTCTGCCTCCTGGGTTCAAGTGATTCTCAGTCTCCTGAGTAGCTGGAACTACAGGCGCATGCCACCATGCCCAGCTAATTTTTGGTATTTTTGGTAGAGATGGGGTTTCACCATGTTAGCCAGGATGGTCTCAATCTCTTGACTTCATGATCTGCCTGCTTCAGCCTCCCAAAGTGCTGGGATTACAGGTGTGAGCCACCGCACTTGACTGCATTATTAAGTTCTTTGCAACTCTTAAACTTTTATTCCATGTTTACAGGAAGGTTGTTACTGCTTCTCTTTATCAGATGCTGTATTCGATTTTTAAAAAAATTTTTTTATTGAAAAAATTTTCAAACATCTCAAAACTGTATAGTATAACTCTTGCTGCTTGACTTCAAAAATTACTAACATTTTGCCAGTCTAATCCTTCCATTTTTTTTCTAGGATATTTAAAAGTAAATCAAGTCATCATGTCATTTCACTCCTAAATCTAACTTCTAAAGACTTAAAAAAAAAAAAAAAACGCCACCCTGTCATTATCATACTTAATAATAGTTTTTAAAATAATATTGTCTATAGACTTTGCCTTAATATTTTTGGACCTGGAGGAAGAGTACAAATGAAAATCCACATAACATATATCTAAGTATTTAGAAGTCACAAATCAAGCTAACAAACTGGAAAACAAAATATAATTAATCCTCCAACTTGACAAATACCCTTTCATATTGACAAGAAAGGTATGGTTTGAATTTAGAACTCTGTGCTGGAATATCACAGTGTGTGGAAAGCTGGCTCTGGGGGCTACCTCTTTTCTTTCTTCCCTCCTGCCCTGGCTCTATCTCTCATGTACCGTGTAGATCTTCTAACCCCTGCACCCACGCTCTTTCTGCATGGCTTGCAAAAGGCAAAAGCTACCCCCCATCATGGCCATACCTTCGGCCTTGGTGAAAGGGAATGCACATGGCCAGCCAGCACAATTTGTTCTTTGGAAGATGGACCCAGAAGAAGACCCATGCAGACCTTGGAAATGAGCAGGGAATTTTGGGGTCCTAGTTAATCCAGAAAGGAGCATGGGAACACAGGTCAGAGGAAACATGGGATTTCGCAGAGGTCTCAAAAGTGTGGGGTCAGAGTAAGAGCTTCTCCGGCCCAGGTCTAAGGATGGAACCAATGATGTAATTCCGGTTTCCCCTGATTAGCTCTAATACTTATTTTTACAGTTGGTTTGTTCAAATCAGGACCTACACACTGCATTTTGGTTACTATATCTCATGTTTTTCTTATTCTACATTTTTGATTTATTGAGGAAACCAGGTCATTTAACACTAAAATGAGCCATTATCTAGATTAAATGGATTGTTTTATTGTGGTGTCACTTAATATGCTCGTGTTTCTTGTATTTCCTGTAAACTGGCAACTAGATCTAGAGGCTTGAACACTTTAGAAGGTGATCTCTGGCTGTCCTACTTTTAGTAATGCGAAGATTGCTTAGTGGTTCAGGTGTCAGCCTTGTTCCTCTGTCATAAAGTTCTTCATCAGTGTTTACCCTGATGATTTGGGAGTTCATTAATGATTCTTTCCTAGAGTCGTTATTTCATTAGGGATTGCAAAATGGTGATTTCCTAGTTTTGTCGTTCTATCTGCATTTGCTAGTTTTCTAAAGAAGAACTGCCTCATCCACCAGTTCATTTAGTTTATGAAGGAAAGGAAAGATGAAATTTGGATTCTTGAACTACTACTAATTTTCAGAATCATGAGTTGATGACTGAGCTTTCTCTAGTGATAACAATAATAACCAACAGTTTTTTTTTAGTGTTATTATGGATACTTGTATATTTGGTTTCAATCCATTGCCACCATTATTCTTTTTGCTTGAATTGCCAATTTTAGGTCGATGGTAGTTGTTTTTGGTAGAAGACCCTGTTGGATTTTCTTTTCTATTTTTCTTTTCTTTTTTTTTGAGATGGAGTCTCGCTCTGTCTCACAGGCTGGAGTGCAGCGGCACAATCTCGGCTCACTTCAACCTCCGCCTCCCAGGTTCAAGTGATTCTTCTGCCTCAGACTCCCAAATAGCTGAGATTACAGGCATGTTCCACCATGCCAAGTTAATTTTTGTATTTTTTAGTAGATACAGGGTTTCACCATGTTGACTGGCTGGTCTTAAACTATTGACCTCAAATGATCTGCCTGCCTCGGCCTCCCAAAATGCTGGGATTACAGGTGTGAGCCACCGCCCCCAGACACAGTTTGACATTTTTCTAAGGAGGACTGGTTCCTTTTAGTCACAAATGTTGTTTAGAGACAGTGGCGATGCTAAGATTCTAATTGCTGCTGGATTGCCATGGCTTCTAGGCCTTTCTCAGTGCAACAGAGCTGCCTGTATGCACACATTAGTGTGTGTGTGTGTGTGTGTGTGTGTGTGTGTGTGTATTATGAGTTCTTACTAATACATTAAACTCAAATGTAAGATTATAAGGTTTCTACTCAATTTTTAAATTTTATATGTGTATTTCATTTCTTATGCTGAGAACCTTAGCTCCTATTGACAGAAGAGTGCATCTTAAATTGTGATGTGTGTAAAAGTCATCTGGGGTAAAATCAGACATTTCTTGAACTCATGTAGGTCATCTCCTTTCACATTTATTGGGTTATGACCCAAGAATTTGCTGTTTTAACAAGTGCCCTAGATGATACTGACCCCAAAGTCAGGAATTATCCTTTGTGAAACTATTCTGTAAAAACTATCGAGGTATTAGAGTGGTGAGTGTTCTTAATCCAACACTTTGACTTTTCTGAAGTAGTGCTTTCTTTAACACATACAACCAAAATTGTGAATTCTGGAGAAGTATTGTGGAATATTGGAAGAGAACAGGACCTAGTCACCAGTCCAGAGTCTGAGTTCTGGCCCTGTTACTGGCTAACTTTTTTAAAAAAAAAATTCCATAATCTTTCTCAGCTTTAGTTTCTCTACCAGAAAATTGGTACAATAATGCCTGCCTACACCAGAATTTTTGAGGGGATCAAAAGTGAAAGTACTTTGTAAAATGTCAAATGAATTACAGATATTGAATTTTGTGGGGGGTCAGCTAGTCTTTCTTACAAGCTTTAAGCAACATTATGCTTTATTTCAGAAAGGCAATAATCTTTCTTTCTTTTAATAACCTCCCAGTAAAGTAATTTTAGTTTACCTAAAGTATTTTTATTATTTCTAGGAATGAAGGATATATCCCAAGTAATTATGTAACGGGAAAGAAATCAAACAACTTAGATCAATATGAGTAAGTAAATGTTTATTTTATGAGTGTAGAAAATCAGAACGTTTTCATTTTCCTGATTATGTAAGGCATTTGAATATTAATGGTTATCTTTCATGATCCTTTGAAGGGGGTGATAAAATATCTTTAATTCAGTTGTCTGATGTGGTAAAAGACTGAGAATTAATCTCTATTATATCTATTTTTTAAAGGTACTGTGTGTGAATGAAATTACATAAGCTTATGTACATAAATTACATAAGCATAATTGAATCAATTTGAAATAAATTACAGATTAGCTAGAAATACAGATCATGTCCATTCATTCAGGACATAACAGTTTCCAGAGTAGAAATATTAATAAGAAAAAATTACTCATAAATCAATGAGTTGACTTTTGTCAGCATTAGTTTATTTCCTTTCAATCGATTTATTATTTTTGAAAAGATAGAATCATGCTTATTTCCTCATACACTTTAATATTCTTTGAAAACATTTTCCTAGCTACATTTTATTTCATTTAATCATAAATTTATTAAATACTTACTGAGTCTTAGCATCTATCAAGCATTATGGACGGCCTTAGGGAAATAACCAGGCAAACGGCACATGGCTGTCCAATAATTTATGTAATCATTTCCTTATTTGTGTGGCTTAGGTTGTTTTAGGTACCTTTGCTATATTAAAACAATGAGATAACTTCTTGTTTCTTATCTTACACTGGATCTCTAAAAGCTATATACTGGGCTAAAGGCTATATATGAACATCGTTAAGGCTCCTGACACATGCTGTCAAATTGCTTTCTAGATAACTTGTATTATTTATATGCCCACTAGCAGCGTGTGGCCAAGTTGTATTGTGAGGCTCATATACATCAAAAACTCTTTTCTTGTCATTCTGAGGTCGTGTATTGATGCTTCATTCACTTCCTTAAAAGCAATAGCAACAACAGCTATTCTTCTCTTCGTGTCACTTGCTGTACCGTAAGTGTACCTTAACATCTAGGAAACGGTTAACAAGTTCAAAAGGCCAGAGCCCTCAGTGGGGTGTGATCTCTCAAAGTAGTTTTAGACGTAGGAGGGAGTATAAACAATATATAAACAAAGTAGCATTTCTGCTCTTAAGTCCGATAGATTTTAGGAAAAATTGTAAAATCCGTAGAATTAGGGAAGGTGCTAAAAGGTGAAACTTGGGCCTGGTTTTAAAATGATAGCCCTGAGAACTGATTGAATTTGGGGAAAGAGGATGCTTGGATGCCAGGTAATCCTTATCTAAATATGAGAACTCTTCTTATGACTCATGTGATTTCAAATGAGGCTGTTCAATCCTGAAGTTTATGATTCAGGGCCTCGAGTGTTTTGAATGTAACTTAATTTGGAAATTGTCTCTCTTCTGAAAGATTTTCTCCCTCTACGTAACTCTGGACTTCTGTCTCCAGCGTGGGAGTGCCCTCACCTTCTGTGCAGAGGCGAGGGAGTCCACATGGCCTTGTGCCATGCCCAGTAGATGACCAAGGGGAAACCTGTTCCCACATGGGGAGGCAGAGACCCTATTCTGCTGTCTTCCTACTCCGTGTTTTATCTTGCTTTGTTTTGTTTTGGTCACAGCCCATCCTGTAACACTACTGTGTTAGTCAGGGTTCTCTGGAGGGACAGAACTAATAGGATAGATGTCTGTGTAAAAGGGAGCTTATTAAGGAGTATTGACTCATGATCAGAAGGTGAGGTCCCACAATGGGCCGTCTGCAAGCTAGGAGCAAGGAAGGTAGTCTGAGTCCCAAAGCTGAAGAACCTGGAGTCCCGTGTTCGAGGGCAGGAAGCGTCCAGCACAGGAGAAAGATGTAGGCCAGAAGACTAAGCTAGTCTAGTCTTTCCACGTTCCTCTGCATGCTTTTATTCGGATTGTGGTGGCAGCTGATTAGATTGTGCCCATCCAAATTGAGGGCGGGTCTGCCTCTCCCAGTCCACTGACTCAAATGTTAATCTTCTTTGGCAAAACCCTCACAGACACACCCAGGAGCAATACTTTGCATCCTTCAATCCATTCAAATCGACACTCAATATTAACCATCATAGCAACTTAAATGTTCTCAGGAATTTAAGAAAACAAAAGCCTCTGCCAGCCGTGGAATGAATAGTTCTGCTGTTTGCTTGGGCCCAGGAGGAATCCCAGGCCACAGACTGTCACTGGGCTGAACTCAGGATTTCCAGGCCTGCAGCTCCCAGTGTTGTCAGTAACCTAGTTCTTTCCTCCATGCCCCGTCACCAGAGTAGAGAGGAGAAGGTCAGAGAGATCACTGCTAGAAAAGAAAGTGGATTCATTGTGATGGTTAATAAGAGGATGTTCTTGATGGAAAGACATTAAAGGGAGAAGGTGACTGAAATGAAAGGGCCCTTAGAACTAGAAAAGGTTTAGGATAAAGGCTTTGAGTGCGTGGCATAGGGTGACTTATTGGGGGCAAAATTAGAGAACAAGCTAAGATGTATAACTGGTTGGGTTTATGTTTTTCCTTTATTTCTACCTCTTGTCTTCTTTTCATGATTTACTCTCACCCATCCTCACCAAGAAACTTGGCAAGGGTTTGACCTTTCCAGGTTAAAAGACGAAATGCCCTCATATCTCTTCTTTCCTTATTGGCATTGCTATTTTGGGGTAACCAGCTAATGTGAAAAACAAATTCACATTAGAATTTTAATATCTAAGAACAATCTGACAAATTACCTACAAATTCAGGGCCTAATTTCTAAATGTATAGTTCCTTTATCAAAAGGCATTAGCCTCTAATAAAGCTTTTCTGTGGAATGCTTTTCAAAATCCCTATCCCTCCCTCCTTCCCTCCCTCCCTCCCTCCTGCCCTTCTTCCCTTTCTCCCTTCCTCCCTCCCTCTCCCTTTCTCCCTCCCTCTCCCTCCCTCCCTCCCTCCCTCTGTCTCTCTTTCTCCCTTTCTTTCCTTTTTTTTTTGGAGACAGAGTCTCACTCTGTCACCCAGGCTGGAGTACGGTGGTTCGATCTCAGCTCACTGCAACCTCCATCTCCCAGGTTCAAGTGATTCTCCTGCCCTGGTCTCCTGAGTAGCTGGGATTATAGGTGCCCACTACCACATCTGGCTCATTTGAAATTTGATCCCCATTGTTGGAGCAGGGGCCTGGGGGGAGATCATGGAGATGGAGCTCTCCACCATGATGAATGGCTCTGTACCTTTCTCAAGGAAGTGAGTTCCCACTCTTAGTTCCCACAAGAACTGGTTGTTGAAAAGAGCCTAGGCCGGGCACAGTGGCTCACGCCTGTAATTCCAGTACTTTGGGTGCTGAGGTGGGTGGATTACTTGAGGTTAGGAGTTCAAGACCATCCTGGCCAACATGGTGAAATCCCATCTCTACTAAAAAATACAAAACTTGGCCAGGCACGGTGGCTCACATCTATAATCCTAGCACTTTGGGAGGCCGAGGTGGGTGGATCACCTGAGGTCAGAAATTCAAAACCAGCCTGGTCAACATGGTGCGCTGGAGAATCACCTGAACCCAGGAGGCGGAGGTTGCAGTGAGCTGAGATCGCACCACTGTACTCCAGCCTGGACGACTGAGCAAGACTATCTCAAAAAAGAAAAAAAGAAAAGAGCCTGGTGCCTCTCTCTTCTCTTGCTTTCTCTGTCTTGCCACGTAGTCTCTGCATGCCATCTCCCCTTCATCTTTGGACATGAGTGGGAGCAGCCTGAGGTCTTTTCCAGATGCTGGTGCTGGCACCATGCTTCTTGTACAGCCTGTAGAACCATGAGCCAAGTAGACCTCTTCTCTTTATAAATCAGCCAACCTCAGATATTCCTTTATAGAGGTGCGTGGTATCTGTGTCACATTTTACCTATGTGTATAGTTCTTTCTGACAGGAGAATTCAGGGGAACCACTGTTGTCTTTTTTTTTTCTTGCCTGGGGATAGATAATCACAGGAGAGGAGAAAGAAGAACTGAGCTGTTAGAAAATCCTGACTATGAGTTAATTTATCTGTTTTTCTGTCCATGACTCCTTCCTCCTTTGTAGCTTCCAACAGACACTGAAAGGTCTGAATTGATGTCATAAGGAAGGGAACATCCTTTCCAGGGAACTTGGCAATGCCATAAAAATGACCCCTCAGAACAGGATTTTCAAGAGCCTGCCCTTTGTGCAGTGGATTCCTCTTTTCCTTCTTTCTTTCTGAGGAGCTGGAATACAGTAGATGAGGAAGGGGCCTCCTCCTTTTCCGAGTATCTTATGTCTAATTTCCTCTTGAGAGCCACAATTTAGCTTCACTGATTTCTTATATCTGAGCCCAAGATGAAATCTCCTTTGTTTACTCTTATTGTAAAGATGAACTGGATCTTGTTATTAATAATTTTTTTTCAATCTTTCAAATCCTGCTAGTTTATAATTTATAATTAAAGCTCCAGTTATATTTCCCTAGTTATTTTTTGTGAATGTTTTTGGCATTTGACAAATGTTTCTTGTATCAGTGAAAAAGTGTTAGGGACAGAATTCTGCTCTCCTAATTTATTATATTTCTCAATTGCATTCAGAAATGTGTTGATCACAACTGCAATTTTGTTGAACTTGGTCTCATTTCATAAAGCGGGGTCCATGTAATGAGATGCTGACAGTTCTGAGGCCTGGTTCAACACCTCAGATTCCAAATAAAATATCTAACGATCTTTAGCTCAGTTTGAGGCTGTAATTTGCATTTGGCTACTACATAAAAGAATCTGGACAGAAAAAGATCTCGTATTGTCTTTTTTGTTCTTTGTGTTTTTCCCTTCTTTAGTCAGGGAAGGCCTATGTTTCCCTGTTTTAGGATTTTTCTTGGGCCCAAAGCAGGTGCTGGTTCTCTTATGGAAGGCTGAAGCAGTGTCTAGAAATTTAAATATCCAGAGAAGCTGAGCTGATCTTATAATATTTGAAGTCTCAGGGTGTATTACTGTGATGGAGAGTTCCTTGCCAAAGAGAAAGGATCTAACAAAATAAGTTTAAAACCAAAGGCCAAAGAAAATGGTCTGAGTTCATGTTCTTATGGCCTATTGACTTAAGTCACATGGAAGGATTGATTATGCTGGGGAAAGTAGAGAGAGGTGAATATCTCTGAGGATGATGTGGGTGATGACAGTATCAAGAAAAGGGTTTTCCAAAGGATAAGAAGAGGTACAGGGCCAGGCATGGTGGCTCACGCCTGTAATCCCAGGACTTTGAGAAGCCAAGGTGGGCGGATCCCTTGAGGCCAGGAGTTCCAGACCAGCCTGGCCAACATGGTGAAATCCTGTCTCTACTAAAAATACAAAAATCAGCCAGGTGTGGTGGCAAATGCCTATAATTTCAGCTACTCAGGAGGCTGAGGCAGAAAAATCTCTTGAACCCAGGAGGTAGGAGATTGCAGTGAGCTGAGATTGCACTATTACACTTTAGTCTGAGTAGCAGCAAGACTCTTTCTCAAAAAAAAAAAAAGAGAAGGTACAGATTGGCAGGGCCTTGGGATGTGGCACAGGGTGGTGGAAAAATTGGGTGGGAGGGAAGACCAGCTGCTCGTTCAAGGCTGACATTTCTATAATAGAGTCTTGGGCAACCACAGAACTTGGGGCTCTGCTGGAAACCAGCAAGTCTGAAGACCCAGGAGGCCTATGCTTATGTTTTGCTCTGTTTCTTTTGTCACCTGGGACCTTTGTGAAATTCAGTGAGGGAGCCTCCATAATGACCTGAGATGAAATCAGCTGCCATATTGATAGGAGGAGGGCTTGGAATAAGATTTAGTTTGAATTAAAGACAATAATACAAAGTGACACTCCCTGTATATTTGAGCCAGTGGAGTAAAACTCGTTCTTGCCGTGATTTTAGTAGTGAGAAATTGAAAGTGATTTTTATATTGAACAGTGAAGAAAAGCTTAAATAAATTACGGCACATGCATACTATAATGCATACTTATATTGATTTGCAAAAATATCTTATAATGTTATATGAAAAATTCAGGCTATAGTATAGCCTATGTAGTTTGATCTGGCTTTAATGAAACATGAGAATATGGGCATACATACATGTTTTCATAGAAATATGGGTAAAAAAGTCTGGAAGTATATACATCAAAATTACTAGTTGTCTATTGTTGAAATTATGAGTGATATCTTAATTTGTTTTTATTTGTTATATTTATTATTGATAAGCAGCATTACCTTATTAATCTTGAAAAGACTAAAATATATTCTAAAAACCTGAGGCCTGAAATGTATTTTTTTTTTTTCTGTTCAGATGGTACTGCAGAAATACGAATAGAAGCAAGGCAGAGCAACTCCTCCGAAGTGAAGTAAGTGTTTGTACTTGTGGGCTTGGATAAAGGGCAAATTAATTTTAATGAATCCCTAATAAGTAGTTCCACATATCTCTCTTTCTAAATTTGTCAGCAGTGAGCAAGTCTATGCAAAACTATCCCCAGAGGCTGAGGGAGCTGAGAGGCTGAAGAAAGAGACTGAAAAATTCAGTTTCTTAGAAAGAAATATTTAATAGGGACTTACAAACCAAAGTAATCATGAGCAGCCTCAGGACAGTGTATCCCTACACCCGCCCTCCAGAAAGTATTCTTTATATAGCAAACTTTTAAGGTAAAACATGTACAGCTGGACATGTCTTCAGACTTTCTTACCAAACACATGTGACCACTGATGAAGTTAGATAAGCATGTATATGAAAGCATTGTTTAAATACCTTGCTAAGTGGGGATCGAACACTGGTCATCATTGTGGTTTCACTTCAAGATGACATCACTCTTGCCATGTAACAGGCTGTTTTCCTACATGCCACCCCTCGAAACTGGCCCTTACAATTTCACATGCCCAAAGCTTTGGTGAAATAACTAATGTGGTTATTATAGCAGGACATACTGGGGACACCAGTATGTCCTGTTACAAAGGAAAACATTCTGTTATTGAATTTATTCAAGTAACTACATTGTCACAAAATAAGAATACTCACAAATCGTTTTGAAATTTTGGAGAAATCAGGTGGAGAGAATATTTAGTGCTTTAGTTTTGCTCTCAAAAGTATACTTTACTCAGTTGCTATAAGCTTTAAATAGTTTAAAACAAACAAAAACACGTTTTCTTGACTCTTCTTCAGAGTAGCAGCCTTCCACACAGGATGTTGTCCATTCACCTTGGAACCACCATCTACAAACCAAGCAGCTCTTGATTGGTCAGTTGAGAGCTGTTTATTGGGCACTGTAGAATCCAGCAGCTACTCACACAGTTCCAGAGTCAGTCTTTGGGTTGGAGAGGCTCCCTGCTCATGAGCATCTCCTCCTTGCACCCACCAGATAGCATAATCCTATGTAAACCATTTCCATTTTATGATGGAACTCTGTTAGACACTGCTGTCTCCATTAGAATGTTCCTCTGACATCACCTGAGACAACATGGATATTTCAGGTGTCAAGATCACTTTATGTTCTTCAGTCATAGATGTAGCTATAGTTAGCATCCATAGCAAGTCAGTAAATGCCCCTCTAGTAGAAATTCTCTAGTTCAGAGTCCCAGTAGTTGTCACTGGGAGATGCTCACTAGCTTTTGCCATAAGACTTAGTAAACACTCAACAAAGGACTATCAAATAGAAAATTTGTCCCTACCAGCATTCCAACTTTCTCTACACTATGAGCTTAGGCAGTCATACTGGCTCCCATTTAGTATGTCCAATTGATATTGCTTGAAGGGCAGATTTACATGCCTTCTGTTTTACAGTAGAAGAAACATTCCCTAGTCAGATACAGTCTTCATTCCCATAAAACATTTAGATAAAGGAGACACAGCTGCTTTACATAAAGCCTGTTCAAACATTCCAGCTTTCATAGTCTTATAAACCCTTATATTTTTATGTTTTAGTTTCAGAAACTTGTTTTCTCTACTTCTACAACATTTGACCCTCTGTTGTGCAAAAGGCTTTGGCTTCCTAGCAGGGCTTTGCGCCAAAGGACTGGCCCTTTTGTCAGTCTTTATCTTGATTACGTTGCTTCAGTTTTGCCCTGAAGCAATTCTTGCTCAGCCTTCTCATTATAATCTCTGTCTTTTAGCTTTTAAAGTTTCTGTAGACTGGGGATATAGCAAACTGATTTTGGGCTCTTTAATGTTGGGAAACCAGCAGGGGCTCCTTTTGGGCCACATAACCTTCAGTAGTGTTGTTTTAAGACCTTTGTTTTAACCCCATAAATTTCCATTTTATTCATTTGATTTTTTAATAACCATCTAAAGATTTCCTCTCTGCTGGGATAAGTTCCATGACTCTTTCCTGACTTTTTCCTCATTCTCTTTCTACTCACTTAATTTTATCTATATCATTTTTTACTTCATTTGGAAACAACCTTTAAATAACATCTAAATGAGAAAAAAATTATTTTCTTAAGCAAAAACTACATCCTAATATCTTTTATATAGCCTTCTCCACTAAAACGTGTCTTACTTTCTTTATATACTCTGTATATAGAATTGTTTCTCTGATATCTAGCAGTTGTAATTACATACATTAGTTACTATTGTAACTCCTAGTAGCACTAATTTCCAATAAAAAATCTAGGAAGTGATTAATTTTAATTAAGTTCACATACAAGTCAAGCAAGTATGAAAAACATCAGAGAAGCAGCAGTTTTATGACCTTGAGCAGAGACAACTTAAACCTGTCTGACCAGTAGATCTAGGCAAAATGTCTGAATTAAATTCTGAAGCTGTTTCTATTTTATTTTATCAACAATTTAGAAACGAGTTTCACTTACCAAAGATTCTCTTAGATTGCATAGAAATGTCACCTACACATAACACATGTAGACATATAGGCATACAGGCACACAGAAGCAAACCTATAGCTTTCATAAAGAATTGCCATTACTAGCTTTCAGATAGTTTTAGTTTTCCCTTTTGTTAGCACATGTTAGGTTACAGTGTACCCTGTAGCAATTTATTTTTCATCCTGAAAGTGTAAAGTGCTTTATCAAGCCCCACAAAAACCTGGGCATAGATGGCTTGCCTCATTCTTAATTCTCAGGAAAGCCCCTGGGCCTTTCCACTGGCCACCATGAAGTTGTCCCTCCCAGTAAATTTCCTTCATTAGACCAAACCTTTGTGACAGTCAGAATGATCCAGGCCATCTGGCTACAATTCCCTTGTGTTTGCCTTGCATTCTGAAGGTGTTGCTGCAGAGCTGGGTGGGTAGTAATGTCACTCATTTTTTTCTGCTTCGTTCCTGCTAGGGCAATACCATTATCCACTGTGTCCCACAGTTAGACCATCCAAGTAGCCAGGGGTTCCCTAGGTAGTTGTTTTTTGTTTTTGTTTTTTTAACTCATTTATGCTAGAGGTTGCAAATTTTTTGTGTGGGAAAAATCAGACCTTGGTGATGACTTTGAGCAGAGGATATAAATAACTCCCACAAGTTTAGTGTTTCAATAATGGAACACTAGGCATAAATGGGTAAAAGGCTAATCAAGTGAAGCACTGGGAGTAGAGAAGGAAAAAAGAAATTTGTAACTGGTTGTCATCAGTTAGTAGTAAACACTACTGTGCTAGGACCAGCCAGTAGTTGGTTAACGGTCTTTTCAGTCTCTGAGTCCTGCATTAGTATATTCCCTGGCAGAGAGAATCTCCTGTGGTGGCTCATCCTCATTTTGCTGCGGTTGTTACACTTTTACTTTCCTTAGCATGAGGGGCAAGCTTACTCTCATGCTTTCTTCCCGATTGATCATTTGCTACCTTAACTTATAGTACTTAAGTATTTCTTTACTTTCTTTCTTTCTTTTTTTTTGGCTTGAAGTTAGTTATTTTAAAATAATTTACATCGATATTATATAATGTCTTTTATAAACAAAGCGTTAATAGATGTGTAAATTCTATTTAGAAATAAATGTGCTGAAATTGCTATACCTTTAGAAAGAAATAAAATCAAAGGGTAAAATATATAGAGGGAACTACCCTGTGCTGAGTAAGGGGACCTGAGTCTACCTGTGACTTTTCTAGTCTACTTTTGCATCTGTAAGAGGAGTTGGACTAGAAGATGAGCTCTACAATTCTCTGCATTTCTGATCTAGTATTCTATTTAGTTACTGTTCCCAGTCTTTTAAACTCATGCTTTCTTGTTTTGCCTCCTGCTTATTATCATGCGTCAAGATTTTGTTGAGTGCTTGTTTTTGTAGTTGATGTTAAAAAAACAATAGTGGATGACTTTGCTTGATTCTAACTACAGGTAACCATGCCTACTCCCTCACAAAATTCTTCCATGCCTCTCTGGAGACCCCACAGTGAGAGGCAGTTGTAGGGGAGTGAGTAGCCAAATGGCAGCCTGGGGACCAGATCCTGGCTCTGCCACCCTGTATGACCTGGTGCAAGTTACCCAGCCAGCTTTTTGTCATTTCCTTACCTATGAAGTAATGTGGGAAAAACAATAGTACCTATGTAATAGGACTGTTTTGATGATTAAATTAATATGCTAGAATATTAGAACAGAATAAATTTTCAATAAATAAGTGAAACAAGCAGGTTGCTGTTAGACTATATTTATGTATTTTAGACAGCGTTTTTCTCTGTCACCCAGGCTGGAGTGCAGTGGCACAGAGGTGTGATCTCGGCTCACTGCAACCTCTGCCTCCCAGATTCAAGTGATTCTCCTGCCTCAGTCTCCCAAGTTGCTGGGATTACAGTCATGCACCACCACACCTGGCTAATTTTTAGTAGAGATGGGGTATTTTTAGTAGAGTTGGGGTTTCACCATGTTGGCCAGGCTGGTCTTGAACTCCTGACCTCAACTGATCTGCCCGCCTTGTCTCCCAAAGTGCTGGGATTACAGGCATGAGCCACTGTGTCTGGCCTCTGTTATACTTTTTACTAACCAATTATTACAATGATTATCCCTAATTGTTATCAGATATGTTTGTGGGGCCTTATTTAATTCCATTGTTTTTCCTATGAGGAAGAGTACAATTTATTTTATTTTTCAACTGATAAACACACTTTTTCATCTTAAAGCAATTTAAATGCTAGAGATTGATGGTGGTATTGCTGAGCAGAGAGATATTTGAGGTTCGTAGTGTCTATTTGTTGCTTTTCAGCTTGGAGCCTGAGAAAGATTTGACCTTTAGTCTTTTAGCATTGTTTCCAACTTTTGATTTTCTCTGCTTAAGTTACTTGTGACTCCATCTCTCCTTTTGTAAAGACTGATATTTGGCTGGGAATGGTGGCTCACGCCTGTAATCCCAGCACTTTGGGAGGTTGAGGCGAGAGGATCACTGGAGATCAGGAGTTCAAAACCAAACTATCTAACATGGTGAAATCCCATCTCTACTAAAAATACAAAAATTAGATGGGCATGGTGGTGCATGCCTGTAATCCCAGCTACTCGGGAAGCTGAGACAGGAGAGTCGCTTGAATCTGGGAGGTGGAGGTTGCGGTGAGCTGAGATTGTGCCACTGCACTCTAGCCTGGATGACAATGCGAGACTTTGACTCAAAAAAAAAAAAAAAGACTGACATTTAACTTCTAGGAGAATTAAGAATTTTTAAATTCATTCTTATAAGAAACACTGAAATATTTATAGGAAAAATGCTAAGTGGATTGAAAATCATACTGAGTCAGGAATCAGAGCTTATAACAAATACAAAAAATGTATGAAATGAAACTCAATCATTAAGAAATACATTTTTCCATGACAGTTTTCCTACATGTCCAGGCCTTAAAGGCATTGCAAAATCTTGTTTCTCACTTCTGGAAAGGCACTGAGAGATTGTCTGAGTGAAATGTCTCACCATTTGTGAGGATTTGTGATTGTGGGGAATTGAGTGTGATTTCTTTAACTGCTCTCATAGCGCAGTAATTTGAATTACAAAGTCATATGGGTGGCAGAAACCAAAAGGCCCTATTGGTAAGTTGTGTGTCTTCAGAGCAGATTTTCTGGAAAAGAATAATCATCATAAAATTATAATATTAGGTTCTTCAGTCTTCTCCATGGCATTGCTATTAGTAATTGGAGCAAAAAAATTTTTTTTTTCTTAATTTGGATTTCAGGATAAAGAAGGTGGTTTTATGGTAAGGGATTCTAGTCAACCAGGCTTGTACACAGTCTCCCTTTATACCAAGTTTGGAGGGTGAGTAATCCTGCTGGTTTTTTTTTTAAAGTTTTTGCATGAACTTCCTATATAGCTTATATGGATTCCTAATTTTCATAAAAATATGCAGCATTTCACCATTAAAAAGAAAACCTGAACTTGATTTCTAAAGTGTATATACTGTTTATTGTATTTATATTTTCAGTCATTTTCCTTATAGTTTTTTATATATATTTGTTGAGTATGCCTGTATTAACTTTAGTAACATTCAACAAATAATTATAGTGAGCTGTGCTGGTCACTAAGGATAAAAACATGAGCAAGGGAGGCAGAGACCCTGCCAGCCAGTAGCTTAGTGGGTGCTACAGCCCAATAACAGACAGTGATGGTAGTGCGTGCCATGTGGGAGGGTCATGTGTGTGTTGGGGTGTCGGGGGTGGGGGCTGGTATACAGCCCAGGCACATCTTGAGTTAGTCACGAATGTTCTCCCAAGTGGCATCCAGGCTGAGACCTGACTGGTGAGCAGGAAAAGCCTGGAGGGAAGGGAAGGAGTGTTCTGACCTAGGAAATTGCCTGGACCTAGAGGGGAGAGAGGATGTAGTGAGTTCAAGGCACTGAAAAGTATATTGCAGCTGCATGGTAGAATGGGAACACAGAGTGAAGGGAGGAGAGAGAAGTTTGAGTTAGCAGAGTCAAGCTCATGCGAGTCTGAGCCTTACCCTAAGAGCAACAGGAGTCATCTTGGAAGCATTTTTAGAAGAGAGGACTAGAGAAGATCTGTGTTTTACAAAGATACCTAAAGTTGAATGTTTACAAATCTAATTTATTCGCTATTGGCGATCTGAGTGCTCTAGACGTTTGTAAGTTGAGGCAACAGCAGGAATAAAAAACAGTAGCTGCTAATAGCTATTTTAAGACTTCCAAATGTTGTTAAATGGAATTCATAAATGTTCTCTTTCACAATCTCATGCAAAGGGCCAAGTATGTTTTCAGTGCTTACTTTAAAAACTGGCATGCTAATGTGAAAGACGAAGCTAAGAAGAACATGGGGAAAATAAAATTTGTGCCAGGAATAGAGGGGATCATATGGAGGGGCACTGTGGTTGCCCTTATAGAAAACATCTTTAGAATGAAGTTCTATTATTTCAACTCGGTTCTGACACATTTTGATTTTTGTTCTAGAGAAGGTTCATCGGGTTTCAGGCATTATCATATAAAGGAAACAACAACATCTCCAAAGAAGTATTACCTAGCAGAAAAACATGCTTTTGGTTCCATTCCTGAGATTATTGAATATCATAAGCACAACGCAGCAGGTAAGTGAGCTGTTAAAACCTACTTCAAATATAAGGTAGTGATTAAAATGATCAGATATTGTGATTAATTCCTTGAGCAGTTTTATAGTTAGTTCATTGTAGAATGTGATTGATTTAAAATTATTTCATTTTAAAGGAATAATATATACAAAGAAAAATCAGAAATAATATCAAGTTTAATAAAAATCTCTGTCTTGACCTTGGGACATGAGTTATTCCAGTGGTACATAGTAAATGTTCACGTTACACTTATACACTGTTGGTGGGAGGGTAAATTAGTTCAGCCATTGTGGAAGACAGTGTGATGATTCCTCAAAGACCTAAAGACAGAAACACCATTCAACCCAGCAATCCCATTACTGGATATATACCCAAAGGAATAGAAATCATTCTATTTTAAAGAGACATGCATGTGGCTATTCATTGCCACACTATTCATAATAGCAAAGAAATGGAATGAACCTGAATGTCCATCAGTGATAGGATAAAGAAAACCATGGAATCTGTGCAGCCATAAAAAAAGAATGAGATCATGTCCTTTGCAGGGACATGGACAGAGCTGGAGGCCATTCTCCTTTGCTAACTAACACAGGAACAGAAAACCAAATATCACATGTTCTCTCTTATAAGTGGAAGCTAAATAATGAGAACACATGGACACCTAGAGGGGAACAACACACGAGGCTTTTGGAGGGTGGAGTGTGGGAGGACGGAGAGGATCTGTAAAAACAACTAATTGGTACTAAGCTGAATATCTGGGTGGTGAAATAATCTGTACAACAAACCTCCATGACAGAAGTTTAACCACGTACCAAACTTGCACTTGTACCCCTGAACTTAAAAGTTAAAAAAAAGTTCACATTTATGTGGTATATACGTCCTTGATACGAAACTAAAGTCCAAGATACGTCTATTTCAGAATAGTCACAGAAGATGCCAGATGAGCCAGGATTCAGTCCTAGGCTGTAGGTTTCTAGAGGAGACTAGAGTAATCATGTCCCACAAGTTAACCATCTTCTTGAAGCGCTGGTACACTTAGTACCAGGGTGGGAACGAGCTGAATGCCAAAAAATAACAGAATCCACATTTATGAGAATTAAAGTTCCACAGGATTATATAGAAAGATTTCTAGCCTTTGACTTTAAAAATGTAACTGGGTGGGAATAGCCAGGTGTTTCACCCAAGTTATGAAAAATTTTGAAATTTTATTGAAGGCACCCTTTGCAAAGCCTGTTATTTTGTGACTATTCACTTTTTCAAGGTAATGATAACTAAGATAAAATGTACATACTGTAAAGTTCACCCATTTAAAGTACACAATTCAGTGGTTGATAGCTATTTGCAGAGTTGTCCCAATTATCAGCATACTCTAATTTTTTTTTAAAGAACATTGCCATCATCCCAAGAGAAACCTTGCACCAAGTAATTGTCACCCCATCTTCCTTCACCAGCCCAGCTCCAGACCATTAAACTACTTTCTGTCTCTATAGATTTGCCTATTCTGGACATTTCATATAAATGGAATTATAGAATATGTGGTCTGCCAGCTTCTCTGAGTTAACATAATTGTTTTTGATGTTGTCATGTTGGAGTATGTACATGTATTCCATTCCCTTTTTTAAAAACATACATCACAAGTTTATTGAAATAATCAGATAATATAAACAAAATGTACAGGGCTTGGCACATAGTAATTGCACAATAACGTCTACCTATTATTAAGTCACAGCCCAGAGCCTAACACAATATTTGTGGAATGGTTAGGTTCTCAGGTCAGCATACAAGTCTACATTTAACTCTTAAGTAAAATAACAGTTTCAAATTGAGTATAATAATGCTAAATGGTGAGACAGGGGATCAACCCTTCTGTCTCCAAATACAGGGGTTATCTTAACATCCACCTGTTGTGTGAGAAAGTCATGCTTCATCTACTTATGGAAGCCAAGACACAGCCTAGATCTGTACAAACTATAGATATACTGTTGTTAAGGAAAAAAATTGCTGACAATATCACTAGTGACTCCAGACAATGTAAATCACCATTAATGTTTATTGCTGTGATGGACTTCCTGAACACATCGTTAGAAATTGGTTTGTGGCCAGGTGCTGTGTCTCACACCTATAATCCCAGCACTTTGGGAGGCCAAGGCAGTCAGATTAGCTGAGGTCAGGAGTTCGAGACCAGCCTGGCCAACATGGTGAGACCCCGTCTCTACTAAAAATACAAAAATTAGCTGGGTGTGGTGGTGTGTGCCTGTAATCCCAGCTACTTGGGAGGCTGAGGCAGGAGAATCACTTGAACACAGGAGGCAGAGGTTGCAGTGAGCCAAGATTGAGCCACTGCACTCCAGCCTGGGCAACAGAGTGAGACTCCATCTCAAAAAAAAAGAGAGAGAAAGAAGAAATTGTTTGTGCCAGGAGGCAGGAGGTCCAGGAGAAGATGGAATTTCTAAATTCAGACAGCCTACTGGTAAAAGTATCCATTCCTTTGTATTGACAAATAACAACTTATTGTATGCGTTTTGTTTATTGTTCATCAGTTGATGGACATTTGGATTGTTTCCACATTTGGTCTCTTATGAATAATGCTTCTGTGAACAGTTGTGTACAAGTTTTTGCATGGAAATGTGTTTTCATTTCTCTTGGGCATTTACCTAGTTATAAGTACGCTGCATCATGTGGCAACTCTGTGTTGAACGTTTGAGGAACTAAGTTCATATCAATTTTTTCCCAAAGAACCTTTTCATATCTCATTTTGTTGTTTTCTATTTTGGGGTTTTTGCTCCCCTAATATTTTTTCCTGTGTTCCTGTATAAGTTTTATTCTTCACTGTCATCTCAATTCATTCAACAAACATGTATCAAGTGCCTACTGCATGCCAGAAACAGAGCCAGGTTTTGGGGAGATTGTGGTGGACTAGGGGTAGTAACTGATCCTGATTTTTCCAGACCCTAACACTTGGGGGGAGACAGAGAAGTATGTAACAATTTTAAATTTCTCTGAAATATCCTGTAGTAGGGGAAATACAGAGTGCTATAGGTGTTTATAGAAGAGGCACCTCCTATTTCTTACTTAGTGCTGTAGGCAACTTGGGTTAAAAGATCCATACTGATTTCCAGTAGTTGGTATTCCCAGTTGTTGGTATCTTAGAGCCCAATTTTTATGCTAAGATCCCAAATACTGAGTCACGTCAGGTGAATAGCTTTCATTTTTGGCAGACTGATATAATTCACTTTCATAGTTCAGCTCTCATATTGGAAAAGAACATGAAATAACTGTTAGAAACCTTTTAACATCCTTTAAAATATTTGAGAAAAGAGAAAGCTAGCATGGTGCCTGATAAACACGGTAGCATTTAAAAGAAAATGTTTGTTGAATGAATAAAAGCATATATCATGGTAGTGTATGTACACACAGAGGATGAGCAGAAAATGAGTAAATGATTAATTTTATAAGTGAGTTTCCTGTAGCATTTTACCAAGCAGAATGATTATGAGTGAGTTTGACTGCAATGCTCTCTTTGATTACTAGGACTTGCCACCCGGCTTCGGTACCCAGTTAGTGTGAAAGGGAAGATTGCACCCACCACTGCAGGATTCAGCTATGGTAACTCTTATTTTGCAGTTGCATGAGCTAATTTTCCTTGAAAAGAATCCATTGTCATGAAACAAATTTGGATGTGTACTATTTCATGTACTAGAACTGTTTTTTTATAAGTTTATAGCATGGGTTTTTAGATAATTATATTTAAGACCATAGCAACCTAGGTATTCTATTTTCATCGTTATTCATAATTCCATAGAAAGCTTTCTATCAGTGAAAAATAAGCATTATCATGTTAATATCTAAAATAAATTAAAGCCCTTCTTGGTTCTCACCAGCTTTATTGGTTACAAGAACGTGAGTAAGGATGGAGGTAAGAGAGAAAGCCTCCAATTTAATTGTCTTTGTTGCTTCTGGCAAAAGCCTTTAAAACAGCAGATTAGATTATTTCCAACGTGATGGAATTGAAAAAGAAAAAAAAATGAGAAGGAAGAGTGGTAAAGAAGGAAGTGTTTGACAAAAGTACCTTTAACTTACAGGCTATATTATTATTAACCTGTTATGCAGAATTGTCTTGCCTTCATTTCACATTGGTTAGAAGGCATACATCCTCTCCACCTTTTGGAGTTCAGATGCAGGTTTTAAGTCTGTTCTGTTTTTTTATCAGGAATTATTACAGCGTTATCCTGTAATTTTGAGGTTGATCTTGGTTATAGGTTCTTTTTCCCCTCTCTGATTCATGCTATGTTTTCCTTTTTAAATATGAACGCTTTCCCCTTCTGTCCTGCAGAGAAATGGGAGATTAACCCTTCAGAACTGACCTTTATGAGAGAATTGGGAAGTGGACTGTTTGGAGTGGTGAGGCTTGGCAAATGGCGAGCCCAGTACAAAGTTGCAATCAAAACTATGCGGGAAGGTGCCATGTGCGAGGAGGACTTTATAGAAGAAGCTAAACTGATGATGTAAGTTGCTGTCATCTTTCTGGCTCACCTTTTCGTATTACAAAGTGGCCCCTCACCAAAAACTTGGTAGTTTCTTTTCCTGTAGTAACTATATATATATATATATATGTATGTCTTCCTTCCCAGGAAACTGACACACCCGAAGTTAGTGCAGCTTTATGGTGTATGCACCCAGCAGAAACCAATATACATTGTTGCTGAGTTCATGGAAAGGGGCTGCCTTCTGAATTTCCTCCGACAGAGACAAGATCATTTCAGTAGAGACGTGCTGCTGAGCATGTGTCAGGATGTGTGTGAAGGGATGGAGTATCTGGAGAGAAACAGCTTCATCCACAGAGATCTGGTAACCCCCTAGCCACCCATATTCCCATTCATTGGCTGAATTCCTTTGCAACGTGGGGTCAGCAAATGTGCAATGATGTATTAATACCCAAGTTTTGTTTTTAACAATGTTTCACCATTATTTTTAAAGTTGGTAAATTTAACTTGCCCTGTAATTTTAAAGGAAAGATCTTCATTAAATCTAATGATTTACCTAGTTAACATCTCCAGGCAAGTTTCCATGTTTTAATTTTTTGATCTCCATAAGAATCCCATGAGATAGCTACTCACAGTGGATTCTCTTACCATCACTGTTGTATAGATGGGAAAATTAGCTTCAGGGAAGTGAAAAGGCTTGCCTACTGTGATAAATAGGGAAGCTGGGGTTGGCTTTGATTTTCCAACTAGATCCCAAGTTCTTTTCCACCTCACGCACTATAAACAGAAACTATAAGAGAAATCCTTTAGATTTTTAAAAAATCTCTTAAATCACAGAGAAAACATGGAGGCTCATTTTAACTTCCCAAAATACCAGAAAAAGAAATCTGTTACTGGTTCTAAATTACTATGTTGGAGACAGTTTTTCCCTTCTCAACTGTTCTCACTCTCTCCTCCATTCTTCTTTTCCTTCTGTTTTTTTTTTTTTGTTGTTGTTGTTTGTTTGTTTGTTTTACCTGGTTTTTACAGCTGTGTCTATTTTCAGCATATCAGTAGCACTGTCTGTCCCTTGAAAATAATTCTTCCACCAAGAAGAGTGTAATTTTCATTTGGGACTTTCTCCTATATTTTAGTTTTAGCTTTCTAGTGATAAAGTGTGGTCACGTTTCTTCTAGAAAGCAGCAAAACAAAACAAAAAAAAATTTTTTTTTCTTTGAGACAGGGTCTCATTTTGAATTTCAGGCTGGAGTGCAGTGGCACAATCTTGGCTCATTGCAGCCTCAACCTCCTGTATTCAAGTGATCCTCCTGCCTTAGCTCTCCAAGTAGCTGAGACTACAGGCACATGCCACCATGCCTGGCTAATTTTTGTAGAGATGGGGTTTCGCCATGTTGCTTAGACTGGTCTCAAACTCTTGAGCTCAAGCGATCTGCCAGCCTCAGCCTCCCAAGTGCTAGGATTACAGGTGTGAGCCACCGCACCTGGCCTTAGCAAAACATTTTTTAAAGTTAACAATCACCTTAGACAAACATTGTTCTGATAAGTATTTTACAGATAAACTCATTTAATCATAACAATTCTAGGAAGTAGATTTTCTTATTATTCCCTTTTTACAGATGAGGAAACTGAGGTACAAACAGGATAAAATAACTTACCAATGGGCAAGTAAATTGTAGAGCCAGGATTTGAACCCAGGGAGTTTGGCTCTACAATCCATACTTAGCTACTATGCTATGCTGCCTCTAGAATTAAAGCATATTAGAGAGTTGAAGATTTGGAGATGAAACACTTGATTTCCTAGGTGCGTTTTGGGAAACTTATCTTAGATTCAGTTTCTGTGTCTCTAAATTGTGGGTTATAATGTTGTTTGGCTTGCAAGACTGTTTTAAAGATCACAGGGCTTTGTAAAATAGACATGCTGTGGATAACATCAGTTATTGTCACCATTATGTCAAGGATGACAAAGAACATCTCAGTCAATTGAAGCTCGTGAACTAAGAACCTTTGTCTTTTTTGTACTTAACAAAACTGATAAAAACTGAACATCTACATGGGTGTGGCAGATTACACGTGTCCACACAGACAATATTTTGGCAAAAGCAATTCTCATATTTCTCTGCCTATGATATTGGTATTACTATGGTAGGTTTGTGTTACCCCTTATGGGAAACTTTGGATGCTCTTGTCTTCTGGGTGAAGAATACTGTTGACCATCCAGTGCAGGCATTGTGGAGTTGCGAAGTGTCTTCGTAGGAAGATGCAGGCAGTCCAGGGAATGGGCATTAATTTTCACTTTATAAGAGACTCAAAATGCACTCAGCAAGAAGGAACCTCATATAAGTGGAATTGCCACATAGAGAAAATAGAATTATGAACAGTCAGGAAGAAAAACATATCTTGGTCCATGGGTTATGGTATTAAAATATGATCATGTCTTCCTTCTGAGAAATACCATGTCTTTCTATCAAACTATTTTCTTGAACCTTATAACCTTGAAGAATGTGCAAGAAAATATAAATTAAATTGACCAATTTTGTACATCGTTATAGTATACTGGGAATATAAAGGAAAAAGCAAACTGTATTTACACATAGCTGTTGTTTTTGAGATGGAGTCTTGCTCTTTTGCCCAGGCTGGAGCACAGTGGCACAATCTTGGGTCATGGCAACCTCTGCCTCCCAGGTTCAAGCAATTCTCCTGCCTTAGCCTCCCAGGTAGCTGGGACTACAGGCATGTACCACCACACTTGGCTGAATTTTTTGTATTTTTAGCAGAGACGCGGTTTTGCTGTGTTGACCAGATTGGTCTCAAACTCCTGACCTCAAGTGCTCTATCTGCCTTGGCCTCCCAAAGTGCTGGGATTACAGGTGTAAGCCACCGCACCCAGCCTGTTCTTTGAGTGGGATGAGATGACCAATCACTGAGCAGAAATGTTGGATAAGAGATTGGTCGCCCATCATTTTGATGGTTGTGTGCTACTAAGCTTGACTAGTGAGAACCTGGATTAAGGACTTCAAGAGATGTTCTCATTGACAGTAAGAAAATTGGATAGTTTAATAAGAACAGGTCTGGGAGGGAGAATAGTGAGCTGACCCTTTTATTAGTCCTTGTTTAAGAATGATAACTGGCTGGTGCGGTGGCTCATGCCTGTAATCCCAACACTGTAAGAGGCTGAGGTGGGCAGATCACTTGAGGTCAGAAGTTCAAGACCAGCCTGGCCAACATGGCGAAACCCCGTTTCTACTAAAAGTGCAAAAATTAGCTGGATGGGGTGGTGGGCACCTTTAAGCTACTCTGGAGGCTGAGGCAGAAGAATCATTTGAACCTTGGAGGCACAGGTTGCAGTGAGCCAAGATTGTGCCACTGCACTCCAGCTTGGGCAACAAAACCAGACCCTGTCTCAAAAAAAAAAAAAAAAAAAAAAAAAGGCAATTGGTAAAGATTATTTAATAATGCCTTATTACAAATATGACTTTCTGACCTGACTTTCTATTCATTTTATTTCAAATATACAGTAGAAATACTTCCATAGGGGTAAAAACAACTTATTAGAGGATGTTTCCACCCTCTGCAAATGTTGACTAGGTTATACTAAATTTAATATAAACAGAACTTATATTTTCCTATTTAAATGGTGGAATTTTAAAACTAACATACAATCATAATGTTATTTTTCAGGCTGCCAGAAATTGTCTAGTAAGTGAAGCGGGAGTTGTAAAAGTATCTGATTTTGGAATGGCCAGGTATGTCCAAGTATATGTGGTTTTCGGTGATATCTGCATTTTTTTCGTGGATTTAATATGTTTGGGAATAATTTGCACTGATGAAGCAGAAAGGAAATCTTGTTAACTGTTCTGAGATTAAAATAACGAAGTATATATTGTGATGTTAGTAATTCTCTCCACTAGGTGGTAGTATAGCCTGTTAAATACACTACATTTCCTGGTGTGGATTCGATTTCTGGAATCTTGTTTCACAAAACATATTTGGTGGTGAGGTTCTTAGTATGTCCATGTCTGCAGTGTTTTTCTTCTCTTAAGTTTTATAATTTCAACAGTATTATAAAATACCTTCAAAAGGTATTTAGTTTATTCTTTTTCTCTTCTCCTTCTGTCTGTGCATTCATTCATCCATTCATCCACCCATAAAAAATCAGGTGCCTGCTGTGTGTCAGGCATAATGATAGACTGAACTATATTATAGAATAAGTCCTTGCCCGCATGCAGCTTACATTCGGGAAGAGGGAGAAACAGAAGACCTGATAATACATGATCAAGCAGGATCGATATCAGTAAACTATGGCTGTCAGTCTGACCCACACCTCATTTTGGTTTTATGTTTTTAAATGGTTGAAAAAAATGAAAAGAATATTCTGATATGTAAACAAATATCTGAAATTCCAGTGTCACTGTCCATAAAAATAGTGTGATTGAGACACAGCCTCGCTCATTCATTTGGGTGGTACCTGTGACTGCTTTCCTGCTACAGATGCGAGTCGAGTAGTTGTCACGGGGACTGTATGGCCTGCAAGATGTGAAATATGTGTTATCTGGCCCTTTGTAGAAAAGTTGACTGACCCCTCTGATAGAGACAATTTGGGGTGGTGCTGAGTAATGGTGCAGCGCAAGAGTGAGGGGCTACTTCGTCTGGTGGTCAGGACGACCTCTTTACAATGGGGAGATCTGGTTGGAGGTGAAAAGGTAGGAAGTAGCCAGTGTAGGTGAAAATATAAGGATAAAATATTTCAGGAGGAAGAACAACAAGTGAAGAAGCTTGAAGTCTGGGACACGTCTGGCTTGCTCAAGGAACAGAAAAAGGGCCAGGGTAGCTGGCCAATGGGCAGCGCCAGGAATGCTTATAAATGCAGGCAAGGACCAGGCCATGTAGGACCAAGTTTCACTCCTAAGGAATCTCAGGTCCAGGGAGATTAGAAAACTGATACTGTCAGAAATGGGGTCAGAACTTCCAACTCTCAGGATATTAATTACTTAATGCTCTTTATTTGCTTTATATAAAGATACTCTATATTTGACAGGCTGTCCATCACTTTCATATGTTCAATCTTCACGTTAGGTTTTCAGAAAATGTGCACTTTAGCATCAACCACTCGAAAACACTCTTTATACCCTAAATTCAGACTCCCCTGGCTGACAGCTTGATCTAGCCCATAGTGGCATTGTCTGCCAAGCAAGCAGCTGGATTTGTGCCGTGTCACCATCTTTGTCTATATAGCAAAGGACATTTGTGCAATTCTTCGGTTATTTTCTCATGAAAGCTTTTAGAAATGATGGCATATTCACACATAATACAGAAATACATGTGTTTTGTTTTTTTTTTTTTTTGTAAATATGTGCTGCCCACCTTACAGAAAGGGCTGAAGTCTTCTCATCTACCAACGCTAATCAAGGATTCTCCCCCAAAGTTAGCCACTGTTACCATTTTCTGTATGTTCTTCCAGAAGGACGTAATATGTTCACATAAAAAAATTGCATAGTAGTTTTGAGTGCACATGTGTATGTGGGGATGTTATGGTATATAAATGCATACTCCACCGTTTACATGTGGCATTTTGTGTTGTGTGTGTGTGTGTGTGTGTGTGTGTGTGTTTTGCATTTGCTATTTTCATATGCTGTAGTTTTAAACTGTACTCTGTGGAATTGTGAGGGCTGCAAGCATGTGTATTTCTAGATGCTTTATACCACTTCCTCTAGAGCAGCTCTGCTTTAGATTTTTTACATATGGGGCCTTTGGGTAAAATTTTATTTAAAGAACAAAACTGCTTCCAAAGAAAAGCTTGCAAACTATTTTATGATACCTTGTCTCTATTGCCTTATAAAAAGAAAGAAAAACAGAAAAATGGAAGTGCAGATAGTAATGTGGTGATACATTCATCTCATGCACTTAAATCAAGCTGAGAGGAAGTTGGAAATCACCAGGTGTGGCCACTGAGGTGAACATTTAGCTTCAACAGGATGCTTGTTGGACTTCAGTCAACTGTGTTTTTCATCGTAAGGGGAAAAAAAATGAAAGAGCAAGTAGAAATGCAGATTGTACTTCAGAGGTGTAAACCCACGGTGTGTCTTACTCTAGGTATGTTCTGGATGATCAGTACACAAGTTCTTCCGGCGCTAAATTTCCTGTGAAGTGGTGTCCACCTGAAGTGTTTAATTACAGCCGCTTCAGCAGCAAATCAGATGTCTGGTCATTTGGTAAGATCCATGGTCCGTGTTTCCTTATCTCTGTCCGTCTTGAGGAGGAAGTGGATACATTCATTGGGTAATCCTTATCCTTTTCCAGGTGTTTTAATGTGGGAAATATTCACAGAAGGCAGAATGCCCTTTGAAAAATACACCAATTATGAAGTGGTAACCATGGTTACTCGAGGGCACCGACTCTACCAGCCGAAGTTGGCGTCCGCCTATGTATACGAGGTGATGCTGAGATGTTGGCAGGAGGTATAGACTTTTTTGTGTGCTTTCTTTCTGAATCTCTTAGGGATTGGGCTTGGTAGATGGACAACATGCAGTCTTTATAGCCTAGTGAGGTGGTGCATGCTTTACAGTGATTTCAAGCTCTAGGTAGGAAGCCAATCCTCAAGTTCTGAATATCGGCAAGAAGAATGTAAAGATGGGAAAATGCTAATAACTATCTTGATACATTCAGGCTGCTTCCTCATTCCCAAGTGGGACTCCTTCCATGGTTGTCTGAGCTAGGGACTTGGGGACTAAGCCTGGAGAAGTAGCTCTTTTTTCACTGGGTCACTGGTAGAGTTGAAGTATTTTTCTTTTACCAGAGTTGGCTTCTTTCTCTAAACCTCAACTTTCTGAGGTCTTTGGAAGTAGTGAAATGTCACCTCTAAAAGAGATTAGATACCAAGTGACTTCTGAAAGACAGTAACATTAGCTCACATGCATTATGTACCAGGCACTATACTTAGTGCTTTGGATTTAGTTCTCAAAACAACCCTTTGAGATGGAGACACTTCGACTGTGGCTACTCTGTAGATGAGAGAAGATTAAGGGTCATGAGGTTGCTGCTTGCCTGGGGTCACCTAGCTATAGAGCAGCATAGGCCTGTCTGACTCCAAAGCCCAGGCTCTTAACCACCTGCTGTACCACCTCCCAAGAGCATTGATTGGGATGGGCAGAGACATTCTGGGCAGGAAGTGGTGCTAGAGGGAGAGAGAACAGCTTGAGCAAAGCTAAGGAGGTGGTTATAAACACGGTGTGTGTGCACGACAGGGGAGGGGGTGGCCCGATTTAATAGAGAGCTCATGTGCGGGTTTTTGTGGGGAATAAAATTGGATGACGAGAGGGTGGGTAAGTGGCAGGTTATAGAGGGTCCTACAAATTTGTGGGACTTGATTTCTCAGGCAATAAGGAGATCTATCAGGCTCTTGAAGAGAGACATGAAAGCAGTGTTTTAGAAAGATTAGCCTAGCAGCAGTATGTGCAGGGTAGAGGAGGGTAGAGACAAAACCCCTTTGGAAATAGCCTGTATGTCCCAGTCCCAAAGCAGAAGCCTCTCTGTAATACGCTACGTTTAGGAATTTGAGCAGTGAGAGTTTTTGGAATGGATTCTGGAACCCACAGCTTCTCTTTGACTTTTAATTGTAGAAACCAGAGGGAAGGCCTTCTTTTGAAGATCTGCTGCGCACGATAGATGAACTAGTTGAATGTGAAGAAACGTTTGGAAGATAAGTGATGTGACCAGCAGCTCCCAAGCAGAAGGAAGGATGGGCATTTTGTGGCTTTTAATTTATTGAGTACTTGGACATGTGGATCGTTTTGCTTATAAAGTGGAAACCCATAAAGAATTTGCTTCTGGATCAGCCTCCATCTAGACTTGCTTCTAGACAGAATCTCCCAGAGTGTGGAAATGTTGCCTTAGAGATGGTGATTAAAATCACTCATTTCTATTCATTCCTCATGCACTCAAGTGACAACTGTATACCAGGCACTGTGTACAGCCCCAGGGTTTGGCCATTTAGGGGTGCACAGATGGGATCATGTTAGTTGACGCCAGTTGGAGGCCAGGGTATTTGGGAAGAGGAAGGGTATTAGAGCCATGATCCAGTAACTCTTCTTTTTCCCTTTGGCTTCCACAGAAATCTAGGCCTGAGACATTGCCTACAGTTGGGTTCTAGATAAATCAGGAACCCACCTTGGATAAATACCCATCTTTTGTTTTGAAAACATCTCCGTTTTCAAGACTGCTCTTAGTATTACATGAAAAATATTTGTATGCTGTATACATTATAAATATATGTAATATATAAAGTTATATATTTATAAGAAACACGAGTTGACTTTTAATTGAAACTTTTAAACCTGTAGTATATGAGCTCACCTTCTTAGGACTAGAGACTGTGCCTTACAGCTATTCATTCATTTCCCCCTGGACATCAAATATGCCTGAAGAGAAGAAAGTCTCAACTCTTCTACGAGTAATACCCCCTCCTCACTCAGGTAAATGTGTCTGGGGATGCCTGTCCAGCTCAACCACCAATTAGGGTCTGCCTGTGTAATCCTGCCCATGGTGGCCACAGCTAATCAGAATCAGGTGGAAAACTGAACCAGGTCATCTACTTCTAAGCCTTAAGAATCTTCCCTGGAGCACAGACACTATAATTGGAAGTGCTGGGCTCTGGGGCAGAAGTATCGGGTGATGCTCACGACAAAGTCTGCCTCCACCTCACGCAAGACCCGGAAGCAGCTTGAGTTGTGGCGGAGGATCCCGGAAGCTGCCAAGAGAATGGCGAGCAGGGTGTCCGGGGCAAGAGAAACGGGGAGTCCGGTGTCCCGGACAAGAGAAACGGGGAGTCCCGCGTCCCGGGCAAGAGAAACGGGGAGTCCGGTGTCCCGGGCAAGAGAAACGGGGAGTTCCGTGTCCCGGGCAAGAGAAACGGCGAGCGTGGGGCGTGGGGTTCGGGCCGCCTCCTGGATGTTTTTCGGGGGGCCTGCTTGGACTTGGGTTCCGGGATGGGTGGCACTGTCGTACGTTCTCCCAGGCGACCCTGCTGGCAAGACTCTGCGTGTGGATTTCTCATCCTTAGAAGCTCTACTAAGACATTAACGGAGTCAGGGCCTTCCTTTTTTCCTCATGAGCCCCAAGGAAAAGAAACTACCTCGGTCACGTGAGCGTCAGCGGAAAGAAACTACGTGTCCGTCACCCAGAGACCATTTATTGGCCAACACATTATTCTTGGTATTAGCGGGGTAGCCCGCCGAGGAAGACAGCGCCTTCCCTTCAGGAGTTCCGCCTTTTCTGGAGGCCGCCATGGTCTCTCGTGCTCTCTGGAGCGTTGGGTGAACACACAGGCTGGCTGCTCTGGGCAGCGCCTTCACTCTGACCCTGGAGAACCATTTCATTTCATCCCGGGCTGCTTAGAGTCTGGCCACCAGGCAGTCCATCCACTGAAGGCTGCGTTTATTCTTTTCCTGGGCACCTCATAGTGGAAGAAAGTAAACTACTTATCCCGATCTGATCAATCTGCCACATTCCTTCTTATTTACCTGTTTAATTGTACTCCCATCACAAAAACGTGCACAATTTTTAAGTTCTGGGGTACATGGGCAGGATGTGCAGGTTTGTTACACAGGTAAATGTGTGCTATGGTGGTTTGCTGCACCTATCAACCCATCACCTAGGTATTAAGCCTGGCATGCATTAGTTATTTTTCCTGATGCTCTCCCCTCATCCGCCCTCCCCCAACAGGCCCCAGTGGGTGTTGTTCCCCTCCCTGTGTCCATGCATTTTCATGGTTCAGCTCCCACTTATAAGTGAGAACATGTGGTGTTTGGTTTTCTGTTCTCACATTACTTTGCTGAGGATAATGGCTTCCAGCTCCATCCATGTCCCTGAAAAGGACATGAATTCATTCTTTTTTATGACTGCATAGTATTCCACGGTGTATATGTACCACATTTTCTTTATCCAGTCTATCATTGATGGGCATTCAGGTTGATTCCATGTCTTCGCTAACCATACACAACTTTTAACTGACTTGTAGCTCATTCAAGGGGCGGGTCCTGGCACACTCTACCTTACTATCACTGTCCGCTTTTCTCCTTTCTTCCTCACCTTCCCTTCTCTTCTCCTCCCAACCCATACTTCCCTCTTCACCCTGAGGAGCTATGGGAAGTACTCGGTGGTTTGGAAGAGAATGAGGAGAAGATAGAGTCCCTGCCCTAATGGTCAATGTATGCTGTTGATGGAAAAACAAGATAGATAGCTCCTGGCAACATTTGGGAACATTTCCTTCAACAATCTTTAAATATTTTTTACTAAGACTTAAGAAGTTTTTATACAAAAGCATAACTAAGGCAAAAGGTAAAGTAAAAATAACAGTCATCCCTCAGAATACTAAGGAACCTTAATCTAAACAGGAAATGGGAAGGGCGGTGAGAATATCCCTGTCTTCATTCAAGTTGTTCCCTTAATTTGTTAACACATGGTTATGCTTTCCAATGGGATGAAGTGAAACTCCCAAGTGTGTTTTGTATTGTTGTTGTTTTTATATTTCTCAGCTATGCCCCAGTCACTTTTTAGGGTTATTACTAGATTGACTTCCCCCAAATAGAGTGTCTGCTGAGTGGGAGGATGGAACATTCTAAACTCAATATTCCAGAGCCTAGAATCTAATTGTTTCTACCACTCACTGTGTGGCCTTGGGCAAGTCCCTTAGTCTATCTGTGCCTCCATTTCCTTCCCAGTCCAGAGAGGGCAGTTTGACTTGATGATTTTAAAGGTGCCTTTTACCAAAATTTTGTGATTTCTTGAAAATGATGTTTGCGAGTCACCCACACCTTTGGGGATAAGACTAATAGACACCCTCAGAGATTGGGATGCAGATTACTGGGCTTTCGTATATAGGCCATTGGTTGTCATTTATACGCTTCTGAGGTTTTCAGAACAGGAAAATAGGAGGGGTTAACTCTGCCCGTGAGAAACATCTTTGGTGAACTATGATTTCAGTTGAAAGATGTGTTTTTGTGAGTGGAGCACCGCAGAAGAACTGAAGACTGTTGTGTGCTCTGTGTGCTCCCTGCAGAAGGGGCTGCCATGATCCTTTCCTCTTGTGAGTAACATGGGCTTTGTTATTTATTTTCGGGATTTGTTCTGGGCCTATTATTCTTGAACAGCAGAGGACTTTTATTTTGGCTAAGGTATAGAGCTTGGGAACATTTAAAGATCATTTCCTCAGATGTTGTGACAGAGCTTAAGAACCGCGGTGGTGATGTAATTCTAATAAAGTTTCAGCATTGAGACTATAAATGAGAAAAAAAAAAAAAAGCCAAACAAAAAGAGCGTCCAGAAATCTACATAGGTGTGCGTAGAAAGCAGTCAGTGTGTTGTAGTTGTTTTTAGAATGAGGCTGTTGTGAACTCTGAGATGAAGGTCAGCAGGCCAAGTGCTAGTTCTGGATTTGCTCTAGCCATGGTGGATCACAGTGTGCAACTTTACGTAAACACACACACACACACACACACACACACATATAAATAAATAATCTATAATAATATGTTTAATCTCTATAAATAACTATATTTAACAACTCAAAACACAGCTGTGCTTATACTCTAAAATTATCTGCTTTATCACATAAACATATACACTTGTTCTTATTTTCACAGGAGCATTTATTCACAATTCTATGTAGACATCCATCATCAAGGATCTTTCCCAAGCAATTGAAATTTAAGCAAAACTGATTCTTATCTGCAGTCAGAGTCTGAGTAAAGGCCAAAATAAGAATCAAAGTCATGAGTCTCCACATAGTTAAGAGTATGAACATGGTCAGGGGTGAACACTGGCTTAAATGTCTCTTTCCCTTATATATAATATTACACATGAAGATGTTTTTAAAATATTTTTTATAGAATATAAGACCACTGTTAAAAATAAGTACTTGTTTTAGGAGAATAAAGATTCCCTAGACACTGTTATTTGTGAAGATCCTTGGTTTGAAAGAGCTGTGGGGATGTTTATAAATCCAAAGAAATTAGAATAAAAAGAGAAAGAATTAAAAATGTCTTCTGAATAAGAAGGCAGCCATCATAACATAATTGCAATATGTGTGTTTCTTTATAAAGGTATTCATTGAGCACCTACTATATGCCATGATCCTTTATATTCATTATCTGAAATCTTCATGACAAATTAGTGAGGTGAAAATTGTTATTCTTATCTAGCCAGTGAGAAAATTGTGCCTTTGAAATTTTAAATCTTGCCCAAAACTCACATGGTTGTCAGACTCAGAAGCATAAGACTCTTTTTTTTTTTTTTTTTAAGACAGAGTCTTGTTCTGTCACCCAGGCTGCAGTGCAGGCATGATCTTGGCTCACTGCAACCTCCACCTCCTGATTTCAAGCAATTTTCCTGCCTCAGCCTCCCGAGTAGCTGGGACTATATAACGCACGTGCCACCATGCCTGGCTAATTTTTGTATTTTTAGTAGAGATGGGGTTTCACCATGTTGGCCAGGCTGATCTCAAACTCCTGACCTCAAATGATTCACCTTGGCCTCCCAAAGTCCTGGGATTACAGGCATGAGCCACCACACTCAGCCAAGTATGAGACTTGCAAGACTGGGGATTTAAGCTCTCTTACACACACACACACACACACACACACACACACACACACACGGATTTGATTGCCCAAGGGATTAAATAAAGGACTACCTATTGGTGGGGTATTTTGAGAATTATTCTCCCTGGCATGGAAGCTCTCTCAAAGGAAGAGCGCTTATTTATATATATATTTAAACTTTTATATATGTGTGTGTATGTGTATATTTGTATATATATATAAAGTTGCAAACCGTGATCCACAAAGGCTGAACAAAATCCAGAACTAGAACTTGGTCTCCTGGCCTTTAGCCCAGGCAACTCCCTTTTTGCCCACCTTGCAACAAGATATTAAGAAACAATAAACATGAGAGGTGCACTTTATTTTGGGAGTTGCTGTGGGAGATTATTCGGTCCCATATGTAGTTTTGGAAATATTCATTTACCTCTAAGACTCAGAGGGCCTTATTGTGCGGAGAAGGAAGGAAAATACTGTCTTTGATTGTAATTCTAGATGACGATGGAACCAAGCTTCAACAAAGCTCAGTCATATCAGATTAAAGCAATCAAAGGCCAGCCAACAAAGTCAAGTTTTTACATTTCTGACTTTTAGGTGGCATTAAGGAAAAAATGATTGTAATTTTTAAATGTCATCTGTTTAAGCCAAATCCCCTCATGGAAGCCAACATTTGTTGGTAGATTTTGTTAAAAAAAAAAAAAAAATAGACCAGGCTATTCCAGTTGTGCTAAACTGAAAATAACTCATAGTCTTTAATTCACTCAGATAAAAACAAGACTCCTGTTAACAGAAATATAGGCCAAGCAGGGCAAAGCAGAAAAAGTGAAAAAGCAGCAACCTGTGTTCCCTTCCACCCTAACAGCAGGACAAGCTCAGCAGTGACTTAAGAATCTTCAAATATTAAAAGCTGTGTGAGCATCTGCTCTTTATTTCCCTCAAGGTCAGAACTAAAGAAAATGCTGTAAATTACAGCAGGAAGGATTTGGTTACATATAAACTAAATCACTGTGAGGGTAGAGACAAGGACTTGATTGCCCAAGGGATTAAATAGAGGACTACCTATTGGTGGGTATTTTGAGGATTATTCTCTCTGGCATGGATTTGATGAAATCTCACTGTCCTTTCCAGCTGAGGTTAATTTGATTTGTTGGTAAGAATCACCTGTTTTCTTCCGCTGTAAATTGCAGCTGGATGTGGCTACATTTTCTGCTGGGTAAAACAATGTGTGTTTACTGTTGACAAGTAGAAAGCTCAGTGATGCCTCAAGATATATTACTGTTCATCAAAGAAAAAAAAAAAGTCCAGCCAGGAAGATTGCTTAAGTTGAGGAGTTTGAGGTTGCAGTAAGCTGTGACTGTACCACTCCACTCCAGCCTGGTAGACAAAGTGAGACCCTGTCTCTTAAAAAAAAAAAAATTAAATATGTTTGTTAGGGTCATTTGCCAAAACCATCTGTTGTTTTAAGTGTTGTCATAGAAGCCTGGCTTCAAAGGCCGCTATAGGGTAGGAGGAGGTAATTGTGGAGCATGGGATATTGATCACACTGATGGGAGATTCTCAGTGGGGTCTCAGGGCACTGCTCCGGTGAGGTTCGGTTTGTGAAAATGTACTTGGTATTGCCAGCGTTTCCATCAACTCACAGTTGCCCTGAGAACAGGAGAGTTATTTAAAGGACAAGGCAACGGAGAGCATCTGGGGCTTAAAAAGTTTACCTCTTAGCTCCCCTGTTTGTCTAATTGCTCTGCCTTTCTTTATTTCCAACTTACAGAGTAGAAAGGGTGGTTTTAAGTCTTGGCGGGCCTGCGGTGCTGTTAAAAGGCAGGTTTCTGGGCTCATCTCCATAACTGGATCTGAGGGTAAAGTAAAGACGTTTTGGTCACACTGCCTTTCTTGGACCTCTCTTTTAGGAGTCCTATCTTACTCCTTTTTATATCTGATTCTCATACCAACTTTGTTAGATCGCTCCTTCCATTATTACTATTATGAATATGAAGATAAGGAGGGTAGCTGTGGTAAGCGGCCTCTAAGATGGCCTGATGATATCTGCCTCCAGATATTCACACCCTTATGCAATCCTTCTCCTTGAGTATGAATTGGACCTAGTACCCCACTTCTTGTGATTAGAATATGGTAAAAGTGATGGAATGTCACCTCTGAGGCCAGGTTGCAGAGGCTGCGGCTCCCATTCCTGTGACCTCGGTCTTTCGGCTTCCTGCACATCGGCTGCCTTGTTGGGAGCACTCTCAGGCAGCCCATGGAGAATCTCCATCACAAGGAACCGAGGCACTGTGACCTGCTTGGAATCTGCTTAGAAGCGGATTCTCCAGCTCTTGTCGGGCCCAGCTTGACTGCAACTCCATGAGAGACTTGGATCCAGAGGCACCCAGCTAAACCATTCCTGAACTCCTGGCCTATAGAAAATGTGAGAAAAAGGTTGTAAGTCATCAGGTCTCACAATAATTTGTTTCCAACAATAGATAACTAAGTTTGTGGCAAAAGCAGGAGGAGCCGCAGATCAAAAAAGGGCTTGGCCACTTTCACCACCGTTTTGCCTGGGGCTGGAGTTTGATGCCCTTTCTGAAAAATAGGCTCAAGATTAAAATGGACACTAGCTGTGTCTTTTCTTTTGTCTTTAAATCATTTCAGTTTTTCACTCCATCACTGCCTCAAGTGTGTGGTAATAACCGCAGCCGCCTTTTGTAACTACTGCGGATCCCCCTGTTGCTCCTCTGTGGAGCCCCCCCAGCCCATCAGCACCCACACCCCCTTCACACCAAGGGTCAGTGAGCAGCACGGCTTCCTGCCCAGGGCCAGCCACACCCGTGGGCCTTGTGGCCAAGAGCTTCTTCCCATCACAAGCTGGCTCGATGTCTTGGGTGTGATGTCTGCGAGCTTATTATGAACTTTGAGCTCACAGAAAACAGTGTTCTAGGAAACACGGTTTTGAGACGTGGAGGAGGGGAGAGGTTGCAGGCAAGGTGCCTGTGAAGTCCAACTCACATCAGCCCCTTCTGAGAAAGACAGAAAAATTGCAGCATAGACCAAACAAGGGTTTGGGTGGCAGCTCTCTGTGCCTGGGGGCTTGCCCTGCTGGAGCGGAGGAACAGATGAGCAGCCAACATCAGGGAGACTCTGCCTTTCCTTGTAGCACGTTTTACTCCCGGGAACATTATTTAACCTGGTGCCCGGTACGCCATCCAGCTTCCAGGCTTCTAGAATCTTCCCCCGCCCCCCACCGCACACACACAACAGGCCATAGACAGCTCAAGCACCATTCTTATCTTCCACTCAAATTGATCAGTTTGGTGTCCTGTTAGGTGCCTGTTTTCTCTTAGTTACCAATGATCCCCGTAAAGTAGTTCTCCTCCCTCCTTTAAGGTTTCGCCAGCAGTATAATGTCAAAAAACAAAACAATAGAAGACTCTGGGGTCTAACACAAATTGCTCACTTCTTTTGTCCATACATTTAGAAAAACTAACATCTTTGAGGACCATCGCTTCTTAGAAGAATGGACATTTTAGTATCAAAAGGAAAAAAACACACGTGGGAACACACACAGACATACCCCAGGTATATAAAGGATCACGTCATACCCCAAATGTAAAAAGGGCATAAACTCAGAATAAAGGATAACTTTCTAAATTGAATAAACATTTATGTGAAAAACTCAGTGTCCCAACTTTACCTTTTTTCCCTCTGCTTGGTTTGGGGTCTCGGTTTGGCATCTAACTCCAAATCAAGAAGTCTGACTCTCGCACGTGGAAGCCTTTTCTAACTCCTGTTCTGAGGTAGAAATCCATGCTATAGCCAAGCTAGTTACGTGTCACGCTCCCCAGATAATATAGGTCAACGTGGCTAAAACATGCCTATCTTCAAAAGGCCGTTAAGAAATAGATGTAGTGGTGGGCATTTATGGCAGAATAATGAGGAAGTCTGGCTTTTCTGTAAATTTCTGGGGTTAAAAAAAAGGCATATTTTGCAGCAAACTTACGGAATCAGCTCTGGTCATCCAGAGCCTTTTTCCAAAGTCGCAACTTTTCAAGACTTCGTTGCTCACCACAGCCCCGTCAACTGCAAAAGCAGCCGGCATCAGACATTCTTCATTTAAAAACCATAACCTGGAGCGCGTGGGTTGGGCGACAGCCCGGTCTTTGGGTTAAGGCAGCTCTCGAAACTGAGCTAGTTTCAAGCCGTGTTTTTAAATGAAAATCACTAGCCATGTGCCAGTTATTATGGTGACCAAATTCAGTAGGAATGCATTTCACTCAAAGCACGATTCAAAACGAAACCCTGACATCGGAAATGCCAGCGGATAAACTGGAGGTGATGACGTAAACTTCAAAACATTCGACACGAGGAAACGGCAGTGGCTTTGCGTCCCACTCAGCCCTGGCCACAGCTCTTCACGTCTGTTCCTTCGTCCTCTTCCGAGATGACCTTAGGAGCTGTTCTGCGAAGGGCTGCTTCTCACTTTCGCATTCTTCCAGTGCCCCCTGGTGGAAACCCATTCCCGATCAGCCCAGCTGCCACCACCTAGGAACCTCTGGGGGTGGAAGGAATGCCAATAGGAGCCTGTGTCCCAGAGAACAGAGCGGGGCAAATCCTTCCCAGGAAAAAAAAAAAAAACACATCTGTCAAAGATGGGAGATCCAACCGCCTACTCCATGACAGAGGTTGCGTTTCTAAAGGTCACAGATTAGGGCTGATGCAAATGCCCTTTTTCTGATTTGCTGACCCGAGGCTCATCATTAGGGATATTTGCTGAAGAATAAGAAGTAGATGAAAAGAACAGTGAAAATGTAAGCCTGGGAGGGGAAGCTCAGCGTCTTCACTGATAATCTTCAAGCCTAAATATATTCTTTCCACATTTTCTTCTGGTAGGCAAATAGTCACTGCCTATCTCTGGGGCATTTTTGTCGCTCTGGCAAAGGCCCTTGATATGCATGACTTGCTGCCTAAATTGGGAATTTGCTAAAAGCTCAAGAGCTTTCTCTCTGCAGGTCAATCGGCAAAACAATTCAAGGAATGGCTTCTGTAATCACAGAATGCCTGTGGAAGTGCACGCTCTATTTGCTTACCCGGAACACCTGTGCTGCTGTAAATTGAAAATGATCATGAATCGAATACTCCTCGTTACCTGCATTGGAATGAATTTTGGCCCAACACTTCTATAAATAAAGTGTTATTTGGCCCAACACTTCTATAAATAAAGTGTTAATGAAACGTTGGCCCAACACTTCTATTAAAAAAACCCTGTAAATAAAGATGGCTGCTGTCTTGGAAAGTCATGCCAAGCAAGAGAACACCAGGGAGCTGTTTGGCTTTCATTGTGTGATTTTTCTTCTCGCAATAATTATTTATCGGGCAGCAACTCTGCTGGGCAGAGGATGGAACCACAAACGTGTCAGTGGTTTGCCTTTCTGCTCACCGCTGCTCTTGGTCTTTGAGGGGGGAATTAAATAAAATTAGGTCATAATTAAAGCAGTGGTAGGGGTAAGTCTGTACCTTTCTTTAAAGGCAATTGTCTTTGGTACTGAATCAGTAAACATAAGAATTTTTGAAAATATTTCTCCTAAATTCCAGGCTGCAGAAGAGAGTGAAGGCAACCAAGGGGAATATTATTGGTGTGGCCATGTGTTGTGAGGTCAGTGAGCTGGGGGAAGCTTTTCTCTAGTCCCAGATACTCCTGCCTTATGACTGATACCAGCAATTTCTCTTTCAAAGTTCTTAACTCGACCAGGAATGGTGGCTCATGCCTATAATCCCAGCAGTTTGGGAGGCTGAGGCGGGTGGATTATTTGAGGTTGGGAGTTTGAGACCAGCTTGGCCACCGTGGTGAAATACCATCTCTACTAAAAATACAACAAAATTTAGCCAGGTGTGGTGGAGCATGCCTGTAGTCCCAGCTATTTGGGAGGCTAAGGCAGGAGAATCACTTGAACCTGGGAGGCAGAGGTTGCAGTGAGCCAAGATCATGCCACTGCATTCCAGCCTGGGTGACAGAGCAAGACTCCATCTCAAACAAACAAAACATAATAAACAACCACACACATAAAGTTCTTGACACTTGAACAAAGTGGTTACCCAAAATTTAACTACTCATAGCCTATCGTTGGCCAGAAGTCTTAATAACATAAACGTTGATCAACACATATTTTGTATGTTATGTGTATCATACAGTGTATTCTTTTTTTTTAAATTTTATTGCATTTTAGGTTTTGGGGTACATGTGATGAACATGCAAGATTGTTGCATAGGCACACACGTGGCAGTGTGATCTGCTGCCTTCCTCCCCATCACCCACATCTAGCACTTCTCCCCATGCTATCTCTCCCCAAGTCCCCTCCCCCCACTGTCCCTCCCTTATTTCCCCCCAACAGACCCCAGTGTGTAGTGCTCCCCTCTCTGTGTCCATGTGTTCTCATTGTTCAACACCCGCCTATGAGTGAGAACATGTGGTGTTTGATTTTCTGCTCTTGTGTCAGTTTGCTGAGAATGATGGTTTCCAGGTTCATCCACGTCCCTACAAAGGACACAAATTCATCGTTTTTGATGGCTGCATAATATTCCATGGTGTACATGTGCCACATTTTCCCTGTCCAGTCTATCATCAATGGGCATTTGGGTTGTTTCCAGGTCTTTGCTATTGTAAACAATGCTGCAATGAACATTCGTGTGCACGTGTCCTTACAGTAGAATGATTTATAATCCTTTGGATATATACCCAGTAACGGGATTGCTGGGTCAAATGGAATTTCTATTTCTAGGTCAATAAAGTAACGTAGAGAAAAGAAATGCTTTAAGAATGTCATAAGGAAGAGAAAATAGATTTACTATTCATGAAGTGAAAGTGACTCTTCACAAATGCCTTCATTCTCGTCATCTTGTTGGATAGTCTGAGAAGGAGGATGAGGAGGGGTTGGTCTTACTGTCTCAGGGGTGACAGAGGCAGAAGAAAACCTTCAAGTAAATGTTTATACCATGTTGTTCAAGGGTCAAACTATTTAAATTTAACGTGTCGTGATGGTTAATGTTATGGATAAACATGGCTGGGACACAGTGCCCAGATATTTGGTAAAACATTATTCTGGATGTTTCTGTGAAGGTAATTTTTGGATGAGATTAACATTTAAATTGGTGGACTTGGTGTAAAGTGGGTCACCCTCCATCATGTGGGTGGGGCCCATCCACAGTTGAAGGCCTTAACCAATGAAAGTCAGACCTGCCCTGAGCAAAGAGGAATTCTGCCAGCAGACTGCATCTGGGCTCAAACTCTTCTCTTACCCTCCAGCTTGCTGGCCTACCCTGTTAGATTTTGGACTTGCAGTTTCTACAATTGCCTGAGCCAGTTCCTTAAACCTTTCTCTGTGTTCGCCCTATTACAAATGTCATGCTTACAAAGATGTACCTGCCTCTGCACTGCAGCACCGTCCCTGAGATTGAGATTGCACTGCAGTACAGAGCCATGTACATGTTTGTAAGTCTGACATTCGTAATGCAGAGTGCTGCATACAGCATGTTTACTACTTAACATCATGCCAGTCGTTTATACTTTACTGAGAAAAAGGGTGAGAGCCTCTACTGAGAGCTGCTTTGATTGCAAGGAGAGAGACAGCCTCCTGGAGTCCCAAATGAGGGGAACATCTGCTTTTGAGTCAGGGGTAGAGATGGCTCAGAAGAGAGGAGTTGGACCCGAAGATTCGCTTCAGCTTACTCGGCTTTTTCCTCCATTTTGTCTTCAGAGGGAAAACCACACCTGCTCCTATTTGGTTACCTGAAATGTATTTTGTGAGTACCCAGTAAATACTTGCTGAATGAGTTCTAGGGAACTGGGTGGGGGACATGGTGGGAAAGTAACTGAGTAGCTCCTATGTTCTAGCGATGTTCTCCTCTGTGATCTTATTTAATCTTCTCATCCACAAGGATAGCCTTAATTGTGACGCTCATGGACTCTGGGCTTGACTTCTGGCTCAGCTGCTTTTTACATGATTAGATAAATGACTGAAGCTCTCTGTTCCTGTTTCTTTATGTGTAAGAGGGGAATCATAATGTTAGTATAGTAAGACAGCATGGTGTAGTGTAATAAGATCTTAGTATCTGTGATGCCTGGCATATGGTAAGGACTGAATTGGTAGAAGTGGGGAAACTCTTTCTTAGAAGACAGGTTTTATTACCTACATTTGCCAGATTTGGTTGCCCAAAATCACATTGTTGCTCCAGGAAAATGAAGCAGTGATTTGACTGCACGTTTGCCTGATACTAAAGCCTGCTCAACCCCGTATGTTCTTCTGATAAAAAAAAAAAAAAAAAACACCACATTTGAATGACAGAGTATTTCATTTGACATCTCATGGTTTGGTGCTTTATTTTGGATGAGGATTTGTTTAAAAATACATATCTGGAATAAAAGGCTAGGCTTATGAGCCACCACAAATGCTGGCCAAAGCTCTGGAAGCTCCGTCCTCACCTTTGTCATTCCACCCAGTCAAAAGGTCATGGTCAACTCATTTTTCTCTGTGGCCAGCATCATGCTGTGAAATACTGGCTGGCAGGATGAATTAGTGGAGAAAAAAAGAGCTCAGATGTAATGTAAGGGTGTTGATATTTGTAGGGTCTTATTTAACAACTATTTATTGAGTTCTTGTTATGTGCTAGACACTGATGCTGGAAGCTAGGGAGAAGACAAAAAAAAAGGGATAAGATGCAGTCCCTGAGATTGAGAAGCTTACGGTCTGGTCCAGTGTCTCCACTGGGGTTGATTCTGCCCCCAGGGAACATTTGGCAATGCCTGGAAGCCTGGAAACACTTAGGTTTCCACAACTGGAAGGGGGTGATGGTGTGGGTGTCAGAACGGAGGGGGCTATGTTGCTGCTGGCATCTAGTGCATAAAGGCCAGAGCTGCGCCAAATGTTCAATGGTACACAAGACAGCTCCCCACAATAAAGAATGATACCGTCTCAAACGTTGATAGTAGTGAGATTGAGAAGCCCTGTGAGAGATGAAGCCTACACAGAGAAACTTAAATGACCGTCTCAGGTGGTACCTAATTAGGAGCCACAGGGCAGGGCCTACCATAGGTGCTTTAGGAACCGAAAGGAGAGTAGATGGGAATGGATTGCAATGGAAGTCTTCCTTTCCAGGCTGGAGGCAGAAACGCATGTGCCTGTGAGAACAGAGCAAGTGGAAGCAGCTGGTGCAGCAGGAATTGGTGAATAGTAAAGAGTCATGGTGGGGTCAGTTATGGAAGACCTTGAAAGCGGGGGAACATATAGTGCTGAGGATGAAGAGCAGTTGGCTGAGGCAGGCTTTTAGGGAGATGGGCACATAGGGTGAATCAAAGGAGATAGCTCGGGGCAGAGACTCTAGATTCAGGTTCAAATCCTGGCTCCCTGCTGATTAGCCCATTGACTGTTGGTAAGGAGTAACTTCTCTGTGATTCAGGTTCCACATCTGTAAAGTGGCATCTGCTTCACAGGGTCACTGTGAGGACTAAGTGCATTAATGCAGAATTATAGGTGTGAGTTGATGAGCGCTTAGCCTTGGTTGTTGGCAGGGTGTGTAAGAAGGAAAAAGCCAAGCCCTGTGAACAGACTGATGGCAGATTGAGTGGAAAGGGTGGGGCTCAG